GTGGATGAATACACCACTCAAGAGAAACACAAAAAACTGCCTCCGTATAGCCAGTCCGTTGGTCTATAATAATCACAGTTCCCTTTCATATAGGTTTTCATACAAAGGCTAAGGGAAACAAAAGGGGACGGTATCTGTACACTAACAGTCTAGTGGAACTGTTCAACTCAAATTTACATGTTTTTCTTTTTTCATCATGAATCATTAGTAATATGAATCTTATTTTCCTATTTAAACCTTATTTCAAATTTTATGTTGGCAAAGTCAATATAATAAGATTCCTAAGAATCCTTACAGTTTGGCATAATAATGGAACTTCCTTTGATTCACTATAGCTACATAAAGCAACACAAATGTTTTTGAATATACATTTGTTCAGGACTGATGCTACATTTTGTTTACAGTCATGATACTCAATACTTCTCTAGTATCACCTACGTGTATATGTACATTATATATTTCAACTTATCACTTTGTTTTCTACAGCACATATTCTCTGGAAAACCAGCAGGGATCCATAATTACTTTTTTTTTTCTGTCACACTCACTCAAATTTGAGAGTGTACGTGCACTGTACACCTGTTGGTGTCATGTTTCGAAATGTGAATCTAATAACTAATTTAGATACATGTTTTGTACTTTTGTTGACTAGAATAAATTGTGTTTGTCATTCAATTTCAAGAAAACATCATTTTCCAACAAGCACTTTTTCCAAACACCCCAAATAACTCTAATGTAAAATTGACATGAGTCAAAGTTTACAAGTATGTTCATGTCTACACTAACTAGATCCTACTAACTTGTTAGAGATGAATAATATTCATACAACTATAATTTGAATTTTGCGAAATGATTAATTAAATATGTTTTTTTTTAGTACAGGGCAAAATAATATGGGAGGAGACCTCGCAAAAAAAAGTACGTCACAGAGTTGAAAACTTGTTTGATTGATCATAACTTTTTATTTTTAAATCGGAATTTACTCAAACTGATATTGACCTGTTCCTCTCATTTCTCTGCTTCTATTAAATCCAACTTTGTAACAGGGTAAACTTTACCTTTCAGGGTACATTAATTTTGTGCCGACGATAGTGTGGCGCTATACTATTATTATTAATCTCATTCCTAACAAAGTAATAATCCCAAAGGAAAAAGTAGTCTGAAAAAAGTGGTCTCGAATTTGTCACAATCAATGCTAAGTATACAGACCTCGTGAAGTGTCACTCGAAGATCGCTGTCCGAACGCTGAAGCCATGCTGCAGTATGTTGAATCTGGTCTTGACCAGCAGGCCCGTAATCGGGCATCTCAACTTGGCGTCTCTCTCCCCCATGGTCGCTGCCCGGTCTGTTATTAAGCTCGATGTTCGTATCCGTCTGCTCCCGTTCCGACATTGTACACTTCTGCTGATAAGTGGCAACTTTTGAGGACCGTCTAGTTCCTCGAGGAACTTTCCGAGGCTCACGCGGCGGCGGCAATGCTGAGACGTGTGCCACTTCACCTTCAGGCTCAACCGCAGGCGGTGCAACTGAAGGCTTGATATTAAGGGCAGCAGACTCCACTGTCTTATCCGTATCGAAACAGTTTATAAGAGTCGAAAGAATTACGCTTCTCCGGCGTGATTATTTTTGGTCACAAACTGTATTCAAAAGTTTTCACATTACGGCAGAGTCATTTTATTGAAATGGGATTAAAGGTCGCATTTAAAAGAAGATAAAACTGGTACAGGTAGTATCGCCCACTTCGCTCAGTATAGTTATGAAATAATAGTATCCAAGCTTCCTTGGTAATCCAATCGCGCATGCGTTAAGTGCGAAAATTCACGCTTGACTCATTAATTTAATTGACAAATTAGGCGGCACCTGTCGTGCAGCGGAACGGGATAGTTTATAAGCTCACCGATACCAACTTCCACCCTCCACCCAGTAGTACCTGGTATGCTGGTAACCATGAATTTCTTGGGGGGGGGGGGGGTTCCCATATTTTAGGTGAGGTGAGAAATCGGTTATTGCTCCGTGAACACTATCCACAATGAAAATGTTAAACGTAATTTGTATGTGTTTTGTTGCTGCTTTTTTTTTAAATACTAACGATTTGTCATATCTAATGCTCCAAAGTACAAACTTTCAAAAATTCAAAATAAAGAGTTACTCACAAATTGATAAATACAGAATCTCTTAACAATTCAAAACCCCTTCAACATATAGAAAGAAAGCGAGAGAGGGGGGGGGGGGGGTAGGTGCTCCCCTCATTCAAGGATAATATATTGTTCCGTTTCTAGTGCTGCTCCAGTACGAGAATAAACCTGACGGTATAGCCTGCACCCTACTCCAAGCGAAGAAGAAGAAGAAGAAGAAGTTGCAAATGATGTTTACATTAATCATATTTTTGCTTTGAGCATTATATTATACCATGCTACCATGTGAAAAATTTCTACTGCTCTAAAAAAAAATCCGACATTCTTTACGTAGTCGCTACGGTCGTAACACTGAATAGAAACCAGTGTAACAAAAGTTTCCCGCTATTGAAGGGAAGGGGAGGGGGGGGGGGCGAAAAAATGATAATAATGAATATATCGAAGTTAGTATTATATCCAATGACCAAACACGAAATTGACTATATAAATAATGCTAGAAGTGCAGGAAGTGTTGGGATACTACTTGAATTTAAAAAAAAGTATGGAATTAATTGAAAAAGGTGTTACAATGGACGGGAAAACCTGAATATGTCATGGTCGTTATTCGTGAGAATATTCACTTCTCTATCCCTCTCTGCTAAATCCTCCGAACACAAGTTGGGAACATTAAAAACGATTCCCTTCATTATGAAGGTTGAAAACAATGTCAGAAACGTTATTTGTCAGCTTCTTAATATCCAAATAACGTTATGATATATTGGTAAGGACTCTTACCCCCTTACCTCTCATGCACAAAAAAAAAATCGTTCTTTATCAGTGCTACGGCTTACATCCTTGGGCAAGATGTTTTACTTAATATGTCTCGTTATATATTAATCTTTAGGTAAAAACAATATTAGAAACGATTGCTACTGAATTTGAGAAACGATCATTTTGCAATCGATTTTCACTCCTAAGTGATCACGGACGTCACTCCCAAGAAAGTGAAAATAGAGTGAAATTCACTCTTTCAGGACTCATACTAAAGAAAAAGTATGGAAATTGTGATCACACGACTGTGAAAATGTGGTCTACTTTAACAGCCAGGGTATATAGCCATATCTTTATTAATACTCCTGTTCCTGCGGGCCCTGCACATTATTACTCCATCATTCACAGGTACACCTGGGTCGAGAGGAAAAATCATGAACATGTTTTTTTTTTCTTGATAGTAAGCTAATATTTTTTAAAGAAATTTATTTATCATCGAGTCAAGTTAGTTAAATATAAAGGGCACTTATGATCATACTTTGTATACGGGCACTTATCAGTGGTGAAAAGGGTGTCCGGACACTCAACAAAAATAACGCTATCAATTTTACTTGGAAAATAACAAAAACTACTCTATAGATACTAACCATCATTTGTCTTTTATGAAATTGTCCAACAAAAATCTCAAAAGATTTATGAAATATTGCAAGTAAATTACTCCAGAAATTAGGCCTTCTGTTTGAAATCAACCGTCTGGACACACACGTGTCAAATATAACTACGACACTGAGGAGGTTTTGAATTTTCAAACTTTAAAGTTCCAAAGGGCACTTCAGAGTCCAGGATGTAGCGTACGTTAACCCACTTATCTGCAATTTTTTTTTTGTATAGGGGTGGCCTCCTGTATGTGTGTGTGTGGGGGGGGGGGGAGGGGGCTTTGCCAAATTTTGTTGGGTTTTGATCCCCCTCCCCCCCCCCCCCCCGGGGTCGGAGCGACCGCATGCGAGTTCCCCAAATCTCCGGTAAAGTGGTTCTCTTTCGCGCGACAAAGTCCGGCCCGCCATAGACACCTGAGATAGGGGGGGGGGGGGGTGCTTTAAAAAAGAGGGAACATGCATACGCGTACCCTACAGAACATAGAGTGGGTAGGGGGCGGGAGGGGGAGGGGTAGGAATTTGGATAAACGTGTCCCTGACAACTTTGTTGTTGTCCCAAGGACTGTACAGACATATGGAACAACCTACAACAAGCAACAAACCTCCTAGACTGAAGCTTTCGGAGGTCTAGTGGAGCCAGACGTAGTCTCAGTGGAACAACCGACGATATAGAGACTAAAGCTTTCGGTCTACAAACCTCCCTGCTTTCATTTAAAAATGCAGTTAAACTTTTTTCAAAAATGTAATCGTCCACCCTACATCTTCTTCGGAATATTTAGGAGGAAATGAATCCAAGATCCAAGAGGGGGGGGGGGGGGGGGTCCCTTTCAACTGACCGAGGCATCGATCTTTCGAGGCTTTCGACGTTATTCCTTTTTGGGGGCTTTCGCAAGTTCAGGCTAGTTATCATTTGACGAACCCTTAAACACCAGTCAGAAAGTAAGGGTCATAGCAGTCGGATTGAGTCTTCGGGGGGGGGGGGGGGGGGTACGTTCTAAAGAGAAGAGCCGACCTTACCCAAAATAAGAGGCTAATTAACGAACGGAATTAGAGACAGAAATTTTCAGTCTAGACCTTCAAGAGTTAACTCATTCGCGACAATCGACCACATTGTGTGGTTGCTGTGTTTACAAAAAAACTAGACCGTCTGGCGACCTCTGATTCAGTCAGACTCTGACAGGATGGTCCTTCAGATGAAAAGTAGGTCAAAAGTCATCCTTGATGATAAAGCCAAATTTGGCTACAAGGCTTACAACACTAGAGGTCATCAATGTGTACATGTATGATTTATAATGGTTCGATGTTTTCGTGTTGGAAGATTGGCTTATTTCTATCATTGAAACCAGCCACAAAGTCTCAAGGAAAAGCCAAAATGCAAGCATAACGCGTTTTGAGTACGTACGCGCATTATTACGCGCATATGCAGCTTAAATGGAATGGAAGATAGATCTAGCTTTTTTAGGTATCACTCGGGTCTAAACTGAGGTCACCTAGCTAATAATCCATTAATATTCGTATCATGAGGTGAAATGTCTTCACCGTGGAAGCAACTGGAGCGCCGTCTTCCTTCATTACCCGGCAACTCATCCCACTCCCAGTCTGTTTTTGCATTGAACCGAAGTGAAACATTTGAATCGACACAATCCGCTCCTCCACAAACCCAGGGGAGACCCCATTCAACACGGGAAAGAAGTGACGGAACGGATAGATCTATGGCGCACCAAATCAGTAAGTTGGGCATTCAATTATCTTTTATTCAATGTCAAGAATTTATCTAATGTCTAGAAATCTAGCTTGCTTAGTTTTAATTTGAGGACCTAGACTTTTTCTAGGTCTAGTCCTAGATTCTAGACCACCAAATCTTGTCGAGAAGGAACAAAGAAAGGAAGAAAGAAGAGACTAAACTTAAGTTTAGTCTAGACTTTAGTTTAGCTACACGAGCCACAACACGTACGGTACCGGTACCTCAGGAAACTCCTTCATCCAATACTCTAGACCGAATTTTCCGTCTCTTTCGTTCGTTAGCCTCTTATTGGGGTAGGGTCGGCTCTCTCTTATTGGGGTAGGGTCGGCTCTCTAAAGAGAGAGCCGACCCTACCCCAATAAGAGGCTAACGAACGAAAGAGACGGAAAATTCGGTCTACCAATACTCCACCCGCACCAATTGTTTTAAACACTCCTACATCATGACATACCTCGTACCATCAAGGACTGGAACTCACTAGTCTACCCTCCGACATCCAAAGGACCACAAACATCGACACCTTCAAACTCCAAGCAACCAACTTTTTCCGCAACCAAGACTCAAGCAATTAAGACCTAAACTGTAAACAAGCACAGTGCACACCCCCTCATCCTCCTCGCTTGGTTCCTAACGGAACGTTGAGGAGTATCCCAGAAGAAAGAAAGAAAAAAAAAAGAAGAAGAGAAAAGAAAGAAGAGAAAGGACTCAAGTCAAGAGTCAAGGGCAAGTCATTGAAGATCTAGCCTATGGCGGTTTGACCATACTCCATAGATCTAGTTCACGCGTGACATGTCCCAAGACAGTTCGGTATCTAAAAAAATCGGCGCTAGTGTAGCAAGGTATCCAAAATATAGCCTACTAAAACAGACCCCCAAATTTCAGACCCCAAATTTTGTGGTCATCATTACCCTAACCCTAACCCTAACCCTAACCCTAACCCTAACCCTAACCCTAACCCTAGAGATAATGATAAACACGAAATTTGGGGTCTAAAATTTGAGGTCTGTTTTAGTAGGCTATATTTTGGATACCTTGCTACACTAGCGCCAAAAAATCTGTAAGATGTCAAAAATATGATAGACCCTATCACCAATGGAAAGAGGAACATGAAATTACCCAGAGACGAATTTTCCTTGGAATTGGGTGTTAAATTATGAAAATATTAACAAAAGATCAGCAAATTTTGCAGTCATTTGAATTTTGAGTCCGTTCCGAAAAATTATTAACTAGAAAAAAAATCTAGATCTAGGTCTAGGTCTAATCTAGGCCTAGTACCGTCTAGGCCTAACCGATAAAAGTCTAGAAATCTTCATTTGTAGAGCAAATATCCTAAAACTTGTAAGTAAAAAGTAAACTGATTGTACAATATCTTGCCTTGCAAATTATGAAATTACCTTATTTTTGATGGATCGCTTTTTTTGATAAATTAGCTGTAGGGTGGAGGCCTTACTATTACTAGCCTGTAAACCCCTGTGCATGAAGTAAGGTCTCGCTGTTTTTATGACCTTTTTAGTTGCATCGTGCATGCCAATCTGACACCAAATTTTCTAGATCGCGATATCTCAGGAAATCCTTTGACAACAAATTTTGTAGTTGAATCAATTTGTAGTAAAAAACTTTGCAGTCCATATGATAATATTTTAAATAAATACATTTGTGTACTGTAGAAACAAACAAACTTGCAAACAAACTTGATAGTCTTGACTCTTTCTCCCTATAATTAAATCAATCTATGAAAGCAAATGTCTAAAGTTCTAGCATTTTATGTACATCCACAAGTTCCAGGTATTCTTGCCACACCCCGGGAAATCAAACGCTACCTGGCTGAAAACCCTTGGCTGGTAGAAGAGCATGTGAAGGATAACTTCAGCCTGGATGATGTACAGAAATGGTTCAAGGAGGAGAGTAGGCCCAAAGGTGAATCAATAAACAAGGTCACAGTGAGGAAGAGAGAGACAGAGAGAGAGAGAAAGAGAGAGAGGAACAAAGAGAGAGAGAGAGAGAGAGAAAAGGGGAGAGAGAGAAAGAGAAAGACAGAAACAGAGAGACAGAGAGAGATGAGGGAGAAGGGGGTAAATTAAAATCACAGTAGATCGAGTATGGGTAAATAATACCAAAAGATGAAAAATTATTGATATGGAACAGATGAAGGGAACATACATTTTGCCAGGATATTAGAGAAAATTAAATCTTCTTGTTGAAATTTATCCTTAAAGCAGGAAAAGAACTGTCACTTTAGTGTTCGAGTAAAAAAAAATGTGCTAAATATCCTTGGGTTGTAAACAGGGATAAATATATAAAATAGCTTTCATGTATAGCTGGATATTAATACTGGGCACAAAATTTAGATTAGCTGAAAGCTAAATGTAAAGGTTTCTGTTCTTTTCTGTACTTGAACACAGGAAAAAAGGAGAGGCCTTCTTCAGTGAAGGAAGGCAACTTGTTGGTGAGTGAATATGTTAAAATTAAAGTAAGATAAAGGAAGCACCAAAGCATGCTGGGAGAAATATGAATCATAGTCAGTTTGATGTCAGCATTGGAACATTTTTGAAAAGTATACAGTATTAAATCCAAAGTATTAAATCATATTCTTAAATATATGAATATTGACGTAGTACCTGATACAATATCTGGGACTATATTCTTGATAGTTACTGGAACTCGAATAAAAATTAACAGATCTAAACGTAAAACCACAGTGAGTCATTACCTAATTTCTTTAGATAGATAACTGTGCATGGGCATAATCGACAAAGCTCCTAACCAGTAAAAGTGTCTATTCCTTGCGATGCAGATAATGTATGTTACAATTGTTGAAGGGCAATCTCAAATGGAAGATGGAGGTGATCAAAATATCAATCCTGGCCTTCACAATCACTTGAGCTTTTCATAGAATTTGTCAGCAGCTGGTTACAGAGTACCCACTTGGGTTCTATCATAACTTCATATCTAAGGAAGATACCGGTCTTGCATAATAATCATACATAACACACAATGATTTCTATTCGACACCTGCAGTAATCCATCCCTTATCTTAAACATGATATGTGTTGTACATGTACATATACATGTACATATGATTTTTGAGTAGGTTCACTTTCTATTTCCTTATTCATTGATTTTCAGAACATTATTTCATGTCATTAATTACTATTATTCAGGATTATTTACTTTTATATTATATAAGAAATGTTAATAATTTGAAAAAATGTATTATAATTCAACTGCTTTTGCATCGAATATGATTAAAAACAACTAATCACTCAATCACACTCACTCTTTTGTCTAGGAATGAGGGTTGACGTGCAGACTGAACCTTATCTTACAGATACTATTCTTGTTCTATGTCTATGATGCAAGATTTATGAAATGTTTGATTGAAACTAAGAAAGAAAAAAAGATTGGAAAAGACATCATTGAGTGTTTGACAAATTTCCACCCATTGGCTTCTCAACAAAATGGTAAAAGTCATAGAATCAAGGAAAGAAAGAACCCACATTTCCTGGTTTTCATACGAGATGGAAAAAATAGTTTTGCTTGAAACCTAAACTGTACCCATTTAAAAAGAAAAGTAATTTGATATTGTTAGTAGATAATTTTTCTTCCATCTCAAAATGGAAAATACTGATAATAGTATACTTTAAACCTGATTTTGACAATCCTTGTAGTGTCCGAAAACCGGTGATGACATCAAGACTTTCCTTGTGGACATGGTGGAGAGAATCGAGGAACATGATGGCATACCTGATGTCCTCTATCAACTCAGCTCCAACATCTCAACAGGTAAAATGGTCAGAAGGGTATCAACTAATGGGGCGTCGCAAGAAAGTTGCGATTGATTACAAATTGCAAAATTTGCAACTGATATTTGCAATCGATTGCAAATCAACTTTCTTGCAAGTTGCAACACCGAATTAGTCTCCTAAATTTCCTAGGATTTTGTTAGGATCAAAGTTTGAACAATTAGATTAAAAGTTAACTAGATCTAGCTTTTATTCCCCCCCCCCCCCCTGTCTCTCTCTCTCTCTCTCTCTCTCTCTCTTACTAATGGGGCGTTGCAAGAAAGTTGAGTTGTGATCAACTGCAAATTTACATTTAATTGCAAGACTTACACTTGATTTTGAGGATTTGCAATTGATTGCAACTTTCTTGCACACCACATTAGAGCTTTTAACACAGAGTTCATGCCCTTTTGGTGCTTAACAGATGCTATAGTCATTGTTGATGAATGAGCTAATTTTTGAAATTTGCATTCGGTGCACTCTTTAAATTAAGTTTAAATTAACATTACAAAATTTTTTTTTTAAACATTTACGTAAATCCAGTTGTATCCATAAACTTTATCATTCTTATTTGTAAATTGACCAACTGTTTTACAATATGGATAAAAACCTATGGATATGCTTTTGAAAATAACTGGGGAACATGTATGCAATTTTAAGAGGTAGAGGTAAATAATATGTATGTTAAGCAGCGTTCATAGACTAAACAATGATTCTGTTACATTGTATAAGAAAATGATGCTGATAAACTTTGGAGACTTAATAGGAGGTAAAATTAGTAAGCTATCAGTGAGATTTGCAGTATTTTAAAATGGTGTTAAGAAATAGCATCTCATGTTGGATATATGTACATGTAGAACCATTATTATTTTGTACTAATTTATTCTTTTTTGTACAGCTGTTAAAGCTGATGAAGTTTTCCTCTTCATGGTTGGTGCACAGGAGAATGTAAGTAAAATTTAAGGACTTCCTTTAAAAAAAAGTCAGTCTATTTTAAGCATTTTATATTTGTACTTGTAAAATTTTAACTTGAAAGAAAAAAAAACTTTAAAGCAGCGGTCATCTATTCTTGATTGCATTATTGTAGTTGCCATTTTATGGAGAAAAAATGACATTATCCTTTCGTGCTCTCAGGATGAACTGTGTAATCATTATTATTTATATTTGTTTTTTGGTTGTGCATACAACCTCTTTGTTTTCCTTAAAAAATAATGTGAACAAAATTTATGCATCAATATATGCCATCTATTGATCTTCTGTTGCTTCAATTTGTAATTTTATTTCATTTGATGCTTGTGATTCTTTACATATTTAAATATATTTATTTTGATTTTTGTAGAGTTTGTATCTGTGCAGTGAAGGAGAGGAGTGGTAAGTATTCAAATTTCACCCATTTACACTATGAAAATTGTACTGACAATCAGGATAGTGTTGTAGACTTTTAGATATCAATGGAATGGAGTGTAACACGGGAACAATTCTAAATAACAAAGAATATAAAGCCTAATACCTCTGATGAATGCATCTCACATGAAATTCTGAATTTATTCAAATAATCGGGAAGTCTAAAAAAAAAGTACAATAAAATATGCAATAGTAAGGGAGTCATTTCACTCACTTTTAGACCCCTGATAAGAAATGTAATTAGTTTGAGTATATTGGTGGGATTTTTTGTTTGTTATTTTTTCGTTTAGATGTTGACTTACTGTTTTCAATGACCCACATACTTGTACAGCAAAATTGAGATTTAAAACCTGATTGTGATTCTACATTATAACCTACAAGCATATTTTCTTACTCGGAATCCAAACCCTCATTTGTGATCAATGCATTGAAAAGATGGACAATTATACTGGTGAATAAGAGTACAAAGTTGTATGGTCATTGCACGTCAAGAGAAAGTATACTTGTAAATGCTGTTGATTTATTCTATTTAGCATCCAGTTAACTCCCTTTGCTCCAATTGATCCTGGAACAAACATCGTTGCTCATGTAGCCCACAGCAGGCAACCAGTATTTTCAGAGGACATCTTAGGAGTGAGTCCTATATTCTCATTGCTCTATGTATTCAATATTTTCATTTTTTATTCTTTGTTCCTATTTGAAATATACTTATCTTTTTTGGTATTTGGTATTAATAAGAGAAAAAAATACATCACTCTCTTTTTAATTTTGTTTACTTAATTTTAAATGATATACTGTGGTACCTCAATGTCAATCAACACATATTCTTGTCTCTATCTTTTATGTCCAGTATTGCATGGGAAGATTCACTTTATAATCCCTATCTGATGTTCGTTTTCAGGACTTTGACTATTTCAATCATTACCGGTAACTTGAGTTGCATGATATGTAGACCTCTATGTAGACCTACACATGTACATGTAGTGAGCTGAGATCCAGAAGGGCATTTAGTAGTATAGTTTTACACATGATTTCACTTTTGGCTTTCAACAAACCATGCACCTGTGAACGTGTAAATGAATTGTCTGTTGATTTCTCCATATTTTTGACATTTCATAAAGTTATCGTGAGCAGAACAAAGAGATGATAACTGAAATCCGATATAGCCCTAACAATCTCTTTCTCCTATAACATCATGTTTTGATAATGCAGGATGAGCGCTTCCCATTAGGGACTGGCCGGGATGGTAGCCTAGCCAAGTCTGTCCTGAGTCTCCCTCTTATTCAACCCAATGGAGAGATTGTGGGTGAGTCAATCAGTAGCTTTCCTTAAGGCTTACGGCAACTTAAAGGTCATGTTTCTTTAATTTGACCTTAGTGTTATAATAATAATAAATAATAATAATAATAATAATAAATTTATATAGCGCAGCTTTTATACAAAATATATTCAGCTGCGCTGGTCAAGAGCTCCTTTTTACTAAATTCTACAAAATTAGATCTCTCAGTTGAACAAATAAGTTTTTAAATTGGATTTAAAAACATTGAGAGATGGAGTGCTTCGTATTTCTATTGGCAAGTTATTCCATAGTTTGGGGGCAGCAATAGCAAAAGCATGGTCCCCAAGAGTTACTTTAGTTTTGCCATGGGGAATCTGAAACAATAATTTATCTGTGGAACTGCGCAGGCTACGACTGTGTGACTGGACTTTGAGTTGAAGTACATGTAATTCTGTGATGTAATTAGGGCTTGACCACTCAATGATTTATAGACGATTAACAATATTTTGAATGAGATTCTTTGACGGACTGGCAACCAGTGGAGTTCTCTCAGAAGAGGTACGGTTGAAGTGAATTTCGACCGACGATAGACAAGTCTTGCACATGCATTTTGGACTCTTTGTAACTTAGCTATCAGAGAATCAGGCATTCCAAACAGCAACCCATTACAATAATCAAGCTTACTTGTGATAAGAGCATGTACAACCAATTTTATACTTTCTTGATCAAAATATTTGCGGATACGTCTGAGATTGTACAGAAGATAGTATGTTGATTTGCATATATTTTTAACATGTGTTTCCATGTTCAAATTAGTATCAAAGTAAACTCCTAAATTCCTTGCTGTAACAGAGGGTATCACATTGGAGGATCCAACACTTACACCGTTAATGCTTATTTTTGAGATCTGTTGTGGAGTTCCTATAACCAAAAATTCACTCTTACTATCCTTTAGCTTAAGATTATTCTTAAGCATCCATCTATGAATAAAATTAACACATTTTTCCAACATTGAAACACTTGCATCTTGAGAACTTGTGGATGGTCTAAAGGATAAAAATAATTGTGTGTCGTCTGCATAACAGTGACAGGAGACTTCAGGAAAATTATCCTGAGTGCTCTTGATTAGATTACTCGTGTATAACATAAAAAGCAAAGGGCCGAGCCGAGAGCCCTGTGGCACACCAAAGGGCACCTGGAAAGAGTCAGAGACAATATGCCATCAATTTTAACTTTTTGATGTCGATCAGACAAGTATGACTCGATCCAGCCGAGAGCAACACCGTCGATACCGCAACATATCTTTAAAATATCTAGTATTCTGGAATGCTCAATAGTGTCAAAGGCAATAACATTCTGAATTCATATAATGCTTAATACATCAAAATATGTACCATGTATCATAAGTGCTTTTTATCATGTACAAGGTTTTTTTATATGTGACATAAACACATTAATTGACCAATTGGACATTGAAAGATTGTTGTTTGTAGTTTTTTACTGAGTAACTCACTCCTTTGACTTTATGCGTATTTGTGAAATAGATTTGTTTTGATCTTATGTTTAATTATTTTGTTGGCTTTGTGTCTCTTGGCATTTGTAATCCAGTATCATGAGGCCACCAAAAGATTGGCAGATATGATTTTTTTTAATTCCAGATTTTTGTTTAAGTTTAGGTCAGATTCTAAAAGAGGAGATTCTCAACTTCAAAATGAGTATAATTCATCAAAAAGTGAGAAGACTGTCTGTCCAGCCCTAGCTTTGTGAAAGATTTGGTTTAATGTTTGGAGTCTATCAAGACTCACCAGGTATCGTGCAAGGTGACAAAAGGAGGGTTATAACTTGGCAATTCCTTATCAGATTGTCCTAAAACAAGAAACAATAATTGAACGAATTCTCATCACATCCTGCTCTATCTTTATTGTGTCTTGGTATCAATGCACCAGTTTGTTCCATTAAATGAGACCATTTGCAAGGGCTATAGAGAAATGAAAACTAATATTAAAAACTCCAACTCACACAAACATACATGTAGGTCTACAAAAAACTGCCAAAATAATCACTTACAGATTATTCACGGGTTACAAATTTGAAAATACATAGAAGCTAGGTAGTTTGCTCCTTCAACAAATAGAAACAAAAGGAAACAAAATAACAAAAACAACTAAAAGTGACACATGCTGGTTGACCACTTATTGAATAAAAAAAGTTTGCCCATGATAAACTTGTATTTTTATTTCTATGCTATACACAGCTGTGATTGAGTTGAGTCGGCAAGTTGGCAGCCCACCCTTCACGCAACAAGAAAAGCAGGTATGCAACATGTCTTTGTATACAGTGCGTCCCAGAAAAAACGAAACCGAGAAGTATCGATGTTGGGCGGCCAAATGTCTTTTTGGTTTCCTTCCTTCAAATTGCTTTTGATCACTTATGCATGAAATATGCATCATCTGAGTAGCATCAACTGAAAGAGGAGACTCTAAGCTTTCCAAATATGTATCATTCATTAATTATGGTTGGGATTAAGTTATGATAAAACATCGATACTTCTCGGTTTCGTTTTTTCTGGGACGCACTGTATATTGAAATTCAAATAGTCATCAGATACAAATAAATTCATCATTTTCATATCTCTTGTTTATTACAAGTTTCTCCATGGTAATCAAAACCGAGAAAGTTTTGGAGTGTGGGTTATATTGAGTTTGATTATTTAAAACCAGATAGCTTTTAGTTGCTGTCTGGATTTAAAGTGTATGTTATAACTCCAGGGTACTATCAGTCTTGGCTGTCTTGGAGCTCTTGGCTTGATTTGTATGAAGCTTAATTTCACCCTATTTTATTTTGATATACATGCTATGGCTACAATGTATTTCTTTTTGATTATGTATAAGTCTTAATGTCAAATTGTATCATATTTACTTTGTATTGCATTTATTTAAATTGTTATGATGTAAATTCCACTCAATTCAACTGTGAGCTGCCATGTGTTTTTTTTTTATTAATGCCTTTTCAAATCATATCAAATCAAATCAAATCAAATATTTCCTTTGAATATCTACAGATTGCAGGAACCTACTTCACTTGGGTGGCCATCGCTTTGGACAAAATTCAGGTAAATTTGCAATATATATGTGAGCATACCAGTATCAAATATTTATCAACCTGTTTTTAATATTTCTGTATGTGTGTATGAAGATGTTTTTGTGTAACATAGCAATGCAGGAAAAGCTAATGGAACACTTTACATCTATGGCAGCTTGTTAATTCTTATGAGATTGCTTTCACATTGAAGCTTCCATTAAAAAAAAAATTGTTCATATAGCATACAGTGCATGTCCAAATTGTAAGTTTCTATGGACCTAGATTAATGCATCTCACAGCAGAATTTGACCTTTAAACCCAACACTGACCCTTTTTTGCAGAAGTCTACTTATTTTTTTTATCCATTTCAAATTCCTGTCGTGAAATTTATACAATGTTTAAACAAAAAAATATGATCAATTCAGGCTTTTTCATCCAGTAAATTTTGTCGGGCACCTTAAATATCATACAGGTTTGCAATGGTCTCATGAAACAGAGGGAGTTCAATGATTTCCTTCTGGAAGTATCTAGGTAATACAAATGTTCAGGGAGTTCAACCAACAGTTGATAAGCTGGATATGAGAGAGTTTTGTTAATGAGGCTAATCAGTTTATAGAGGTTTTTCTTTACTTTGCTATTACAGTGTTGCTAATCTTTTGTTTTAGTAGTAGTAATACATTATATTATTAAAATTGTTCAACTTGTTCAGCTTATTAATTTTGTTTTTTACCAGTTCTTGAGAACATTTGGTGTTATTCAAGTTTTAACAAGAACACCATTTCTCTGATTCTGTTTATATATTTAATTACCTGTTTCACATTGATGACATTAACAAAGGTAGAACATATGCAATATAACAGCACAAGTCTTCTCAAGAATCCAGTTTTTGAAAATATGAATAATGTTCAAGGTACTATGTGTTCAACATTCTTAGTGAAGTGGAAATATAGCAATGAATACAGACATACTAAAGCTTTTTGTCATACCCTCATCAAAGTAATTCACAAAGAAATGGACGTGTTTGAAATTTGCATACACACATTTTTAAATGCCTGAAAGGGTTTGTTTTTATGTTATCTTGTATTTCATGAAACTTTTGCATGCTTGTGTTTGATTGATTTGTTGAATACAATACAATACAATGAACATTTAGGGCGCCATTCCCATAAGGCTCAGAGCGCTAACATCAAGTGTCGTTTATATATTGTGTAGGTATTTGATTCCTATACCCTTGGTGAGTTCTATAGATGCATTCTTTTGATTTTTAAAGTCAATGCTGGTTTGTGGCAATATCAACGTATTTAAGTTCATGACTTTTGTTGTTGTTTCAATGTTATTCTTCTAGTTATGTTTGGAAAATTCATGTAATCAGAGCTGTATAGCACCAAGACTATACACGTGAAGTAGTATGAGAAATTCTAAAGTTGTTATATATAAGATTGCTCAAATGTATGTTTCTGCTGCAGGGTAATCTTTGATGACATTGTTGCAATCGATGACCTCAGCCAGCACATCATGGTAAGTTGAGTCCTTATGCATCTTATTAACCCCTTGACTACTGAATTATATAGGCCCCATAGGCTTAACACAGGGACCGCTAGGTTCCCGTAAGCACAGGGTTAAAGCAATCTTCAGTATTGTAAGTATAGATTATATTCTGGCGGGTTAGGAATAGAGCTGATTGAAGATAACAATTCTTGGTCCTGCATAATAAGCATACATAACACACAATGATTTTTATTTGACACCTGCAGTATTCCATCCCTTAGCTTAAAGTATGAAGTACTGGTTGACACAAAGCAATATGAAGATTTGATATACTGAACATTGTAACGTTTAAAGTAACATCTCTTCCAATATATTTTCCTTCATATTCTGTAGAATACTCTTGTAAAATATTAAATTTAAAAAAAATCAAGATCACATATTTTAAGTGCCTGGTAAATCAAGAAAAAAAACTTCAAGCCCTTTAAGCAGGAATCGGCTACGCCTGAGGAACTGCAATTTCATGTAGGAACATCACCGAGCAATATACCGCAAATCAATTTTACTTAATTAAAGCAAGTGTCACATTTTTATTATTATTATTATTATTATTATTATTATTATTATTATTATTATTATTATTATAAATAAATACATTATCTTTGGCACTCCAATCACTATTTCTTTAATTCGATCATATCTTTTTTTAAAAGCTACATTATATGGATGCAACACCTTCATCAATACATCACTTTTCATTTTCTGAATACTCTGTCTCACAGATGTTTGCTAAGAGCCTAGTGAGTGCAGACCGGTGCGCTCTCTTCTTGGTAGACACTGAGGCAGAAGAGCTGTACGCTGACCAGTTTGATGATGGCCTAGACAGGGATGGGAAACCAGTCTTTGTCAAGAAGAGCCAGATCAGGTCAGAATTATTTCTCTCTATCATCCTCTATACTGAGTATCAAAATAAAGTGTTGTTTTTTTTTTGCGGGGGGGGGGGGGGTGGGGGGGGGAGGGGGTATTTTGCACACAACTTGTGAGCATCCCCAATGCTTATTTTGAAGTTTTTTTTTTTTTTTTTCATTGAATATATCAAATCAAAATTTGTTGTGCAAGCTTTTTAGGTAAAGTGCTCTTTTTAGAAGAACATCCAAATATACACTAACAGAGACGCCAAGTTCAAAGACCAGCTATGCGTGACATTTTCATGACTCGGCGCCCGAGGGTGTGACACTTGGTAGCTCTGCACTAAATGTGTTCAAAATTCACAAAATGATGTTGATATACACTTAATTGTACTAAAAGTACACGAAATACATCAAAGACGTTATATATTATTAAAAATACATGTGCACTAAAGATGATTCAATTACAATGAATTAAGGTAAAATATTGCTAAACATATCAAATTGATTGGCCTCTTTCTTTCAACAGACAAGCAATTAAAGTATGCTTAAAAAACTGAAAGATGCCTAATTCACACAAGATGCAAAAGATCATGCACATCAAAAATGTTCTAAACCGTAAGGAAACAATAGTAAATCTTTGAACAAATTACTTGAGTGGTTCTTATCTAATTATGTGGTGTATGTTTACAGTTTACCTGTGTTATGTTTTTGTGCTAGGTTCCCATTGAGTAGAGGCATAGCTGGACATGTCGCTAAGACCGGTGATATTGTCAACATTCCAGATGCTTACCAAGATCGAAGATTCAACAGGTTTGGTTTCCATTTTTCCTTCTTTACCTCCTTTTGCACTCTTCATCTAGTTCATGATATTCCTTCCAATATGGTCATACAAGAAGAGTGTCTTAAACAGATTTTCCTTTAATTGTAAAATACTACAACCTAATAAATGCCTAGGTCTCATGTACACCGGGCCCTGTACGACTTTCCCTTCCCGGCTACTTGCCGTGGATTTTAGAGACCGTACGGGACCCTTCTGATTTTCATTTCTACAGCATGTGTGATCACATTCTGCGGCGCCCGGGAGGCATCCTGCAAAACTCTTCCCATATTTACAAATAAAATACCTCTTTTAATTGAACCCTTATCATTGTTCTACCACTGTTTACATAGTTAAGGGTGGCGGTGAATTGGTACACTTCTAATTTTCTTGGGTGGGACTGAGTCATCACCCACAATATGTACATTAAGTAGAGGAAGATGACCGTTGAATAACCTCCATCATCAATGTCACTCATTCGTGTTCTTCTCCGATGTATACAGGGAGGTGGACGTGCAGACGGGCTACTCCACCCGCTCCATCCTGTGCATGCCCATTACCAGTCACGGTCTCATCATCGGCGTCGTCCAGATGATCAACAAGATGGGTCAAGACGGTCAGACCACCGCCTTTGACCAGACGGATGAGAGTAACTTCAAGATCTTTGCCATGTACTGTGCTCTAGCACTTCACTTCTCCAGGGTAGGTCCTAGCTTCTCAAGGCTTGTGCACATCGTAGCGTTTTGAGAGAGATAGTTGTGACACACACATCTACGCATACGCGGTCATAAATTAAATCATGTTGCTCCAACATACACATACAATCTCTATGAGATGAGAGGGAACTATTTGGAGCTTCATAAATTGACACATTCAAATGCTCAAACATGTAAATGAACTTCGCAATGATTGCATTTGGGGCTTGTGGGCGGGTCGATGAGGCGGTAGCTCCACCAATCAGAAGCAACTTCCAGTGATGTAACTATCTATCTCAAGTAGCTATGGTTCACATATGCACCAGTAAACCATTGTGATGAAGGGCACTGGGCTTATTGACACACAGAGCAATGTGTATGCAGGAGACATGGTTGCTACTTTTTACCTGTTTAAAAGATGCTTATCTGTTTTATAGAGTTAAAACCAGTAATATCTTAGAAATGTTGTGTTTCTAAGTCTACATCTTTAGTAGATAGCTATACAGTTACAGCTTTGAAAAGCTTTTGAGATTTGAACTTTGATTCACAAAACCTTTCCAAAAGGTCTAAAAGATCGTTTTATCAACCTTGTACAGAATAAATGAGCATACTCAACTACTTGAGTCTATGTTGTTCTACATCTTCTAAAGATAGCTAGGCAAATAGAAGTCAATTTTAACATCTAATCCAACTTCATGGAGCTTCAAATTAGTTAGAGAGAGAGATAGAGAGAGAAAGAAAGAGAGCAGGAGAATAAAAGCTAGATATATTTCACGAAATTTAATTATTAAAACTTTAATCCCAACAAAATCCTAGGAAATTGAGGAGACAAGTGGGGCATTACAAGAAAGTTGAATTCCGATCAATTGCAAATATCAGTTGCAAATTTTGCAACTTGCAATCAATCGCAACTTTCTTGCAACGCTCAATAAGTCTACATCTTTAGTAGATAGCATTTCAGTTACAGCTTGTAAATGCTTTTGTGACTTGAACCTTGATACAACAAAGTTTTCCAAAACGTCTCAAAAATTGTTTAATCAAACTTGAAGAGAGAAATGAGCATACTCCACTACAAGAGGCAATTTCGCTCTACATCTTCTGAAGATAGAAGGCAAATAGAAGCAAATTTTCAAATTAGTAAGAGAGAGAGAGAGAGAGAGAGAGAGGGAGAGAATAAAAACTAGATATATTCAACTTTTTTTAATTTAAATTGTAATCCCAACAAAATCCTAAGAAATTTAGGAGACTAGTGGGGCATTATAAGAAAGTTGAATTCCAATCAATTGCAAATATCAGTTGCAAATTTTGCAACTTGCAATCAATCCCAACTTTCTTGCACACCCATAAATCTACACCTTTAGTAGATAGCATTTCAGTTACAGCTTGTAAATTTATTTATTTATTTATTTCATTTCCAGGCAAGATGATAACATACAAAATATCACAAGGTTAACAAATGATAGAACATACTGTAAACATAATGATATTTAGCACCAGCCAATGCCTGAGGATCACCTAAAAGAATTAAAAAAATTCTGTCGAGAGGCTCTCCACATTGCTTTTGAGACTTGAACCTTGATACAACAAAGTTTTCCAAAGAGTCTAAAAGATCATTTTATCAAACTTGTACAGAATAAATGAGCATAATCAACTACTTGAGTCTAAGTTGTTCTACATCTTCTAAAGATAGTAAGGCAAATAGAAGCCAGTTTCATACATTTTATAATATTCGCGGTATATTAAATTTTGCATATTTTGTGTTAAGATCGTTAAGCGCAAATTTTAGAACTCGCGAAAATATAAGCATCACTTCTCATGCATGTTTTGAATGGGCTGAATTGTGAGCAACGCAAAGTTAAGAACCCGCATATATTTTTTTGGGTCGCTCAGCACAAGAAATTAATCACGCAAAAATAACAGCGTTTACAGTAATCCAATTTCATGGAGCTTCAAAAAGGATATCCAAAAAGGCTTTAATATTCTAAGGATAAGAAACCATTGAAGGGCTAAATGGATTGTTTCTAAGTCAACTTCTTCACAAGAAAGCTTGGCGATTAAAACCTGAAGGTACATTAGAAGGCGCAAACCCATTATAATTCTGAACAGAAATATTATTAGAACAACCTTTTCTTTTTTTACACATTCAACATCAAAGTAATGAAGGTACAATTCCGGTGTCTAGTTTGGCTACATCTATATCTAAGGTAGAGAGCAGGGTCCTTATAACTTGCAGATTAGAACTGAGATTTGAATTGAACATTGGTTCAATTGATTTTGGTTTCAAACTGTTTGCAAGATGATTTTAGAAATGGACAGAGCATTCCATTTTGTCAATTTTTAGGATTTTTGCAACTCTACATCTACTAAAGAAAGCATAGCTAATACTACTCTTGATGCATTCGATTGCTCAAACATCATATTTCTATTGAAAGGGCTAGTTCATTTCCACTATATACGATAGACGTATTTGTACCAAACTAGTTTAAAAACCAGTTCAAAAAGGATATTCAATAAGGATTTAATATTCTGAGTATAAGAAACCATTGAAGGGGTAAATAGACACAAATTAATTAAAAATTAATTAAATTAAGTAAATTAACACAAGGATACTGCACAAAATACAATAGTATTACAAAGTCATTAAAAATAGTACATTCATAACAAAAAATTATAGGTACACCTTAGATCAAAGAATATTGATGGTGGGATAACGGAAGTGGGTAATGGATGTGGAAAAATAAGTGTTTTATATGACTTTAAAAGCAAATTCATAGGAGGAATATAACAGTTGAATAAATTATGATCAGTGCTAAGAAAATTTATCTGTTTTGCATGCTTCAAAGTAGGCCTATTTTAATGTGGGTGCAAGGTACATGTATATGGAGAACAAAATGGAAGTATAATTCACCTATTAAGTCGCTTGGAGAGTGAAATTATAGTTTCACTTCCTATTATTGGCTAATAGAGAATATGGTTGGTAATGCAATATTGAAATCAATATAATCCGTATAAACAAAACAGTAAACCTTCAGTAAACAATATAAGTTTTCATTCAAGCACATCTATAAGATAACAATTTGATTTACGTATATGCTCAGCATTTATGAACAAACGATCTGTCTTTACATTATTCCAGTTTTGATTTGAGTAACCTCACAATGAAGGGGAGTGCGCTCTTTCTGTAGTGCTCATTTTTGCATTTGATTTCAGAATAGTCATTAGCGTTGCGCAGGTTGCGGGAAGTGCGAGAAGCTCGCGTAAGGGGGAACCAGTGATAGAAGGGGGACGTTTCCTTTGCGAGGTTACTCGCAAATTTCTTTGTTAACCTTTCCCTCCTCTCCTCCAGTGTGGGAAGGTCAAGAACATTGAGGGCATCATCATAACTCGTGTATCTTTGGCCAAGCATGAGGCGACACGCTCGTTTCTGAATTATCTCTATCAGTTTCTTGTCTGCCCTAGTCAAACCTGAATGCCAAACAGGTGCGCAGTATTCGACTTTCGGGCGCATGTACGAACAATACACAACTTTCAGATCCTCAACAGGTAGCTGAAAACCTCAACATCAATGTGATGAAGTTACAATTATACCGGTGTCTAGTTTGGCTACATCTACATCTAAGGTAGAAAGCAAGGTCCTTATAACTTGCAGATTAGAACTCAGATTTCAATATCGTTTCAATTCAGTGATTTTTGTTTCAAATTGTTTGAAAGATGATTTTTGAAATGGACAGAGCATTCCAGTATATCAATTTTTAGATTTGTTGCAACTCTACATCTGCTAAAGATAGCATAGATAATTCTCTAGATATGTATACATGCAGTAGACGCATTGAAATGCTCAAGCATCATGTTTATTATTGAATAGCTTGTGAAAGGGCTAGTTGATTTTCATCATATACACTAGACGTACTTGTAGCAAACCAGTTTAAGTACCTAAGAGGAGCGTTTGAAAGGCATGTTTACAATTCTACTTCTTCAGAAGACAGCAGGGCCCTGTTGCACAAAACTTACCATTGACGGTAACTTTGTGCCATCAGTGGTAACTACCATGAAAACCTTGATTTTGATTGGCTGTTGAGCCCTGTTACCATGGCAGTTGCCATTGATGGCAGAGCTACAATCAATGGTAAGTTTTATGATACAGGGCCCAGGTGAGTTACTCACGTTTGCAAATTTTTAGTATTTAAAAAAAATAAAGAACTAATTAGAAGACGTTTCTTGTTGTGGATCTAATTGTACGTACATCATTAACTTTATCTACATTTTCCATTATAGATCTACCGTGATAGCCAGCAGTCAGAGAGAAATCTTGCCGTAGTCCAAGAGCAGCTGATCTACTACACGACATGCAGTGAGCAGCAGGTGGACAGGCTTCTCAATAGCTGGAATAAACAGAGCTTCACAGTACCAACGGAGATAGAACAGTAAGTGAAGGAATTAGTGGAAAGCACATGTAAACATTGGAATGTGTGCGCTTCTTTGGTAGATTTCCAAGTTCAAACAAATTATTCAGTTGAAAATTATATTTGGTATCTGCTGAGAATGTAACTTTGAAATGTTTAACATTGAAACTCTGTCAGATGGAAAACAAAATTAACCCAAAATGAATGATAATTGAAAAGAAAAAAGACAAAAAAGAAGCCAGATGTACATGTATGGAACTCTAAGGAGCAGTTGCATTAACATTTGGGTAGATACATTCTTCTTGCTGCAAAGCTGATCATTATAACTTCTTTACATTTGAGATTCTTATTTTGTCAAAGCATTTATGAGAAAAATATCAACAACAACACCAAATAAAGATGATGATGATGATGATAATAATGATGAGGGTATACCTGCATGTAGGTATACAATGTTTTGCCATTATGTTTTTTTTTTTTGTGTGTGCAGTTTTTAAGAAGAATATTTGATAATTGAAGGCTTTGGACTATCTAGTAAAATGTTCCACAAACATGTATGTATATATTCTTTCCATCAGGTTTGATTTTCACAGCAGACCTTACGTGAGTTCGTTAAATGAGATATTCATCTACATGGTACAAAAGCTCTTTGGACCATCAAGGTAAGTGTATGTAATATGTAGACTGCTCAATCCTCCTGCTTCGATACAGAAACCACACACTTCCCAAAGACAACCGGTGAAAGGAAATATTACTATGTAGACCAAATGGATAATCAATTTTCTTCAGAATGCTTGAAAGGGATAATTTGGGTTTATCGGTCTGGCTGTATAACTTTGTTTCCTTTCATTAGATTCAATTTTCTCTTTTGGGAATCCCCCTGTTTTGCTACTTTGAGCGTTATCTCAAAGTAATTGGAAATGTATTCTTGTTCCCCTTTTTTGCATGCTTCGTAGGTAGAATAAAAGAATAATTGAAAAAAGACTAATGCATGAATGCATGTATACACCAGTCAAGAGAAACACAATAAACGCTTCTATAGCCAGTCCGTTGGTCTTTATATTCATAAATTCCCTTTCATACAGGCTTTTAAGCAAAGACTAAGGGAAACTAAAGGGGGCAGTGTCTGTACATATGCATGCAAGTTATTGCTGATCCTGGTGTGAACAGTATGCATTTCTTCAACTTAAGCTAAGGCATGTGTCCATTATCATGAAGCTGATTAGTGAATTAAATTTGTGCCGATTTGATTTGATCATTTCTCACATAACAGTTTGGTCACATAGATACAACATGTTGATAGGTTTTGTTAAAAGGAACCCCCACCCCCCCCCCCCCCACCCCCAAACAAAGAAGTAAAAATAGCATACTCCCAATCCCGATTAGTCTGGTTAGTATTATATCCACTGTCTCTCCCAGTTTAATATAAAGTTGACAACATAGCTATAATGACAAGTTCAGGATTTTTCTATATACAGATTGGTAATTAGCAAATATTGTACAAATTTAATGAGACCTCATGTAATTTATTCCTACATCCCCCCCCCCCAGCTTTGACCTGACGACTCTAGCTCGATTCATCCTGACTGTCAGGAAGCATTACAGGCTGGTGCCATTCCATAACTTCTGTCATGCCTTTGATGTGTGTCATTGCATGTTCATGATTCTCTTGCACAGTGAAGGCAGATTCACAGATGAGGAGGTGGGTTTAATAGTCAAGAAAAAACTTTAAGAATACATTATTCCATGGATTCATCTTTAAATGTACTTGAGATTAAAAAAAAAATAGGCTGGTCCCGTTCTATAACTTCTGTCATGCCTTTGATGTGTGTCAAATTATTCATGCTTCTTCTACACAGTGAGGGAAGATTCCCAGATGAAGAGTTAGGCTAGTTGTAATCATATTTACAGTGAAACCTGTTTTTAAAGAACGCTCAAGGGGGACAAGAAAAGGGATCTTAATAGGCAGATGGCCTTCATGTACAGGTTTCTGTAATACATGTAGCATTGAAACATTTATTCAAGGATTTTTTTTTTTTAAATGTGGTCTTTATAGACGAACATGTGTACTATATACACCTGTAAGAAGCCACCATTATTATTTTTATTATCATTATTAAGTGGTCCATCTATGCAGAGGGTCACTGGAGCAGGTTTTAATATAATTGTGTTTCTCAATAAAAGTTGTGTTATTAATTGTGCCTACCATACATGCAGTAAGTTGTCATGCTTAATCAGTTTCATACAGTATGTCATTTTTCCAAACAACACTCTTGAGGACGAAACTACATCTTAAAGTTAGTTACAATGTTGATACCATCCCCAAATAGAACAGATATGTTCATAAAGAAAATTGTATAGAAATTCAAAATTCAATTGAATATTACAGGTAAAATAAATCGTTTTGGTTCAAGCTAAATTGACCTCTAAAAGCTTTGTGGTGAAATGCAAGAAATTAAACTTTCTTCACTCTATTACAACCCAGATGTACGCCATGTTCTTTGGGAGTATCTGCCATGACATGGACCACCGTGGATTGACCAACAGCTTCCATGCCAAGTTTGGAACCCCTCTCGGTAAACTCTACTCATCCTCCATCATGGAGAGCCATCACTTTGCCATGATCGTCTCCATCCTCCATCGAGAGGGCTTCAATGTGTTCTCTCATCTCCCACCCGACACATTCAAGAAGGTTAAAAAAAATGATTGATTGGTTGTCTGGTTGATTGATTGATTGATTGATTGATTGGTTGTATGGATGATTGATTGATTGATTTAAGAGACATCACTTTGCAATCAATGACGGTCTCCATCCTGCATCGAGAGGGCTTTAATGTGTTCTCTCATCTCCCACCTAACACATTCAAGAAGGTTGGTTTGTAATGATTGATTGATTGACTGGTTTAATCTTGATTGGTTGTTTTTTTGGTTGATTATTATTTGATGATTGATTGATTGGTTTAAGAGACATCACTTTGCATTGACCGTCTCCATTCTGCATCAAAAGGGGGCACAAGGTAGGTACATGTTCTCTAATATTCCACATTCAAGAAGGTTAGTTGCAATCGATTGATGGAATAACTCGTTTTGACTAATCAGTTGATTAACTGATTTAGTGAATCTTCATTGATGAATTAAGTGATTGATTTTTGAATGGGTAATTGGTTGATGATTTGAAAGGCATTGTTTTGTGATGAATTTGTTTACTTATTGCTTGGTCAATTGATTAATGGTTGACTAGCCGGAGGATCGATTTGGATAGATTGATTAATTTAGTGACTGGCTGGAATGCACCTCCGTGGAGTAGACAGTGTGTATGTTAAGTGGAGAATCACCCTCATCTACCGAAAAATGTTTTTACAGTGGCTGATTCGAAAACATGAAACAATATACCACTTTCCATCAGTGAATTATTAAACCTGTCTTGCCTCCTTCAAAGGATCCCATAAAAATACTTCTTCCCTCAGTAACCAAATGCGATTTACCTTTTTGGTAATGAGTCTACTGTCTACCGGTATGTACTTTACGTCGCATTCTGTAGTTTTGTAAGCACTGGTAATTAATTATTATTTTCAGCGCTCCAAAATAATGAATATTATCATATTATTAATAGAATCATAATTGAATCCAGTATACTGTAAACTGCTTTGATCAGTAGGGTGTAATATAAAGGTGATATGTAAACACCGTTGCTATCGTTGTCATTACTATTCAGATAGTGGATCTGATTCAAGATATCATCATGTCGACAGACCTTACAAACTTCTTCCCAAACCACAAGGAGCTCTCCAAGCTGCTGGTTGCTCAAACCTTTGATTGGACCATAGATCATCACAGGTTAGAGCATGGACCTACTTCAATTTTTTTTTTAAATGTCTAGTATGAGGTTGTTACTGTACCCTAACAATAATAATAACATTAATAACGGTTTCTTATAAAGTGCTTTACGTGAATATTGCATGTAAACGCAACAAATTTACTTTTGGACCAACAAATTTCGAATTTGAGTAGGTCCATGGTTATAGAGTCTCTAGAATAGGATGTCAAACTTTGAGTATTTTTCATTGCATTTATAAGAAATAGTTTGTTGAATTAGGTAATTCCTAAATAGATTTTAGAATACAGACGGACATGATAATGATCTGTTCCCTCTTTTCTCTTTCTCTCTCACTCTCTTCCTCATCTCCTTTTATCTCTCTGGAACCTTGATTATAATAACACATTTTCCTCTAGAATATGATGTCAAAATATTATTCTTTTGAATACTGTAATACTTTAAGAATAAATTAGTGAAAAACTTTAATTTCTAGTATAAGGTTGTACCCTAATAATAATTATAACATTAATAACTGTTTCTTTAATATAAAGCGATTTACCAGTTACAACATATACAATCAAAGCGCTCACAGTATTATGAGACAAACATAAACATTTTATATAGAGTTCTTTTTCTTAATTCGTCTATTTCTCACTTTCATTCTTTCTATATTTCTCTCTCTCTTTCTGTTGATCAACACATCTCCTTTCTTGTATTCCTTTTGGTGCTTGTAATGAATAAATCATGGTTTGATTGATAAATCATTCATATACTTCTTTTGGGCCTGCAAGTAAATGCTTTAGGGTGACAAAGTTTTACATGCTAACCTTGGTTGCTGCTTTTGTGTGTTTAAATTTTAAAAAATGAAAAAAATGAAAATGCTATTAATAAATGTTTTATCCACTTTGATCACACCTGGGCCGGTTGCATAAAACTTACTACTGATGGTAACTTTGCCATCAATGGCAACTACCATGGTAACAGGACTCAACAGCCAATCAAAATCAAGGTTTCCATTGACTCATACCATATTGCATGATGGCAAAGTTAATTACCATCAATTATAAGTTTTGTGCAACGTGCCCTGGAGATAAAGAGAGTATGTTAAGATTGAATCATAATCTCATATCATTCAGATGGAGCATTCGTAACATGTGCATGACGGCCTGTGACCTTTGTGCCTCAACCAAGATGTGGCCCATTCAGCAGCAGATTGTTGAATGTCTCTACGAAGAGTTCTACAGTCAGGTAGTTCAAGCATAGTTCTCCAAAGCCTTGTTCGTCAAGCTTTACTGCATGATTGAGCCAACTGCTGCCATGCAACAGCTAGTGATCGAAATATTGATTTGTTGATGAATGGCAACAGGCAATGTTGTGCAAGTACAATGTGGCTAAAAGGGTTAAAGTACTCTTTTTTTGTAGACTACAGCTGTATGGGTGACACATTGAATGGTACGATCATATTTCATGAGCGTCCGGGAACAATAAAAAATTGTAATGATAAAGAGTATCTGTAAACCGCCATTCATTGAATGGGGGTGACATGGAGGGGAAAAAAAGACAATTTTTTTCATTATACCTCACTAGACATAATGTTGGGATTTGTTAGGGTTAAGAATGTTATCTTACTAACCTGTTTTCATAAAGTTACTTGAGCCTTAATATGGACAAGGAATTATATCAGGACTGATCTTGGAGAAGATGGATAGAACCCATCTACTATTTCCTGGGTTGTTTTTAAATTATATATTTTGTTTTCCTCCAGAAAAGATTCTTAAAGTACAATCTGCATCAAAACAACATCAAAGATAAATGTATTTCATAAGGAGAAAAGAAACTGAAGTAAACTGTAACATTAGTCATTTTAGCTATAATGGGTTTAAAAGCTTATATTCTAAATGATGCATTTAAGGAAGACAGAGAAGAAATCAACTAATGAGGATAAATGCTTAATTATGACAGACCTGAGCACTATACAAAAAATGCTTTTAGTGTTGTCTCTGTTAATACTACTTTGATTATAATGATTGTGCGTTTTTTTTTTCTAAAAACACTTTGTTCGCATTCTTTCCCTCTAGGGTGATATTGAAAAGGAGAGAGGGGAAACCCCTATTCAGATGCTGGACAGAGACAATCAACCAAACCGTGCACAAGAACAGGTATATACTAAGAAGTGAATGAATTCTAGCTACCAAAGAATCAATAACACATTAAAAACAATTTCATTTGTAATGACAAAACATTTCCAAAGGGTTTAATGCACAGTTAGCTTGGACTGAAAATATGTCATATAGGTTTAAGGTAAGGGTTAGGAAGAATGAACCATTCACCTGGGCCCCGCTGCACAAAACTGACCATTGATGGTAACTTTGCCATCAATGATAACTACGAAGGAAACCTTGATTTTGATTGGCTGTTGAGCCCTGTTACCATGGTAGTTGCCATTGATGGCAAAGTTACCATCAGTGGTAAAAGTTGTGCAACAGGCCTTGTACACTCAACCTTACATATAATATGATATACAAATAATTCTTGTGATGAATTTATTATGATAGACCAAGATGGCCAGCATGACCTCTGAAAGTATTAGTGAAAAATATTTTACAACGCCTTTTCTGATGCAACAATACTAAAATAAGCTATATACTGCTTAATAAAATAAATATCAGCATTTGCAATTAGTGATGTTTTCTTCATTCAGAGATTACAAAACAAAAATCATTCAAAATCAACATCTTGCACATTGGAGTATTTAGCCCATCTTGTTAAAGTAATTCTTCACACTGAAAGAAAATTACCAGCCCCATTTCTTGTGGTTGATGATAGATTGAGTTCCTGACAAACGTCTGCTTGCCATGCTTCAGTGATATAGCAGACTTGCTGCCTGAATCTCAACCTCTCTTGTCAGGATGCAAGTAAGTTCTAATTCTTATGCTGTTTTTATATTCTTCCTTAATTACTCTCTCCTTTTCTCCTGTCTTACTCTTTCCCCCACTGACTCTTTTTCTTCTCTCTTACTTTCTTCTTCTCTTTTGCCTTTCTCTCTTCTGTGTTCCCCTTTCCTTCTCTATCTATTTTTCTTCTCTTTTGCCTTTCTCTCTTCTGTGTTGCCCTTTCCTTCTCTATCTATTTTTCTTCTCTCTTACGCCTTACTCTCTTCTGTGTTTCTCTTTCCTTCTCTATCTCTTTTTTTCTCTCTTACTTTCTTCTGCCTTATTTTCTTCTATGTTTCTCTCTCCTTTATCTCTTTTTCTTCTCTCTTACTTTTTTCTTCTCTCCTGTCTTCCTCTTTCCTTCACTGTCCATTTGTCTTCTCTTCCCACTCCCCTCACCATACTGAATCTCAACCTCTCTGGTCAGGATGCAAGTAAGTTTGATTCCTACACTGTTTTTCTCTTCTTTCTTTCTCTCATCTGTGTTTCTTTTTCCCCCATTATCTCTTTTCTTCTCTCTTACTTTCTCCTTTTCTTCTGTCTAACTTTTTCCTTTACTATCCATTTGTCTTCTTGTTCCACTCCCCTCACCATCTCTGAATCTCAACTTCTCGTGTCAGGGTGCAAGTAAGTTTGATTCCTACACTGTTTTTCTCTTCTTTCTTTCTCTCATCTGTGTTTCTCTTTCCCCCTCTATCTCTTTCTCTTCTCCCTTACTTTCTCCTTCTCTCCTGTCTTCCTCTTTCCTTCACTGTCCATTTGTCTTCTCTTCCCACTCTCCTCACTATACTGAATCTCAACCTCTCTTGTCAGGATGCAAGTAAGTTGGATTCCTACACTATTTTTCTCTTCTCCCTTTCTCTCTTCTGTGCCCCCCCCCCCTCTCTCTCTCTCTCTCTATTTCCATTCTCTTACTCTTTCCTGACTTTCTCTTTTTCTTCGCATTCCACTCCCCTCTTTTCTCCCCTCCCCTCACCATACTCTTCATCTCCTCTCTCTTACTCTCTCCCTTTCCAGTCTCTATTCTATCTTACTCTCTCCCCTACCCACCCTCTATCTCTTCTCTCTTAATATCCCCTCTCACTCTTACCCTCTTCCCTCCTACTCTCTCTTTCTCTTCTTACTTTACCCCTATATAAAAGTTGAATAAATATATCCAACTTTAATTTGATTCCATCTTCTCCTACATTCTTTCCAGGGACAACCTCCAGCAGTGGCAGTTGGTCAAAGAAGGCAAGGCGGCATCAATGTGGAACGTAGCAACATCAAGAGTAGATAAAGAATGATTTCTAAAGCTGATATTGTGCCTCATGTTTACCAGAGAAAACAAGTATGTACTTGCACGCTTAACCCCTTCAGTACATGGAAACAAGAATGGCAAACAATCATCCTAAATGAAATTTGAGGTTTAATGTTGATACATTTGACCTCAACTATTTTCTGTGGGAATACACACCACTTTTGGGAACGTTACTAACCTGTTGCATCAAAGAAAGTGCATTTTATTGCAATATTATCTTCATCAAGAGTAGATCAAGAATGATTTCTAAAGCTGATATTTTGCCTCCTGTTTACCAGAGAAAACAAGTATGTACTTGCATGCTTAACCCCTTCAGTACATGGAAACAAGAATGGCAAACAATCATCCTAAATGAAATTTGAGGTTTAATGTTGATACATTTGACCTCAACTATTTTCTGTGGGAATACACACCACTTTTGGGAACGTTACTAACCTGTTGCATCAAAGAAAGTGCATTTTATTGCAATATTATCAACATCAAGATTAGATAAAGAATGATTTCTAAAGCTGATATTGTGCCTGTTTACCAGAGAAAACAAGTATGTACTTGCACGCTTAACCCCTTCAGTACATGGAAACAAGAAAGGCCAGCAATAATCCGAAATTTGATGTTTAAATTTGAGGTATAAAGTCGATACATTTGACCTCAACTATTTTTTGTGGGAATACACACCACTTTTGGGAACGTTACCACCCGTAGCATCACACAAAGTGCCTTTTGTTATTGCGACATTATCTCCATATTGTACTAATTCAGAGAAGAAAAAAAACACTTTGATGTACGATTTATCAAAATGACCTGGCAACATTGCTTACAAAGCATTCATGTTCGATCCTGAGGTATATTTATTTTTCTCATTGATACAACACTTGGTGGCATGTCCTGTGTGTGTGTGTGTGTGTACCTCATGTTTGCAGAAATATGCAATATACAGTAGAAATGTAGGTGGCTTGACTGATAAATTGAAATTTCATGCTACCCCAATTCCAACTGCATCTTTTGAGAGGTATATGGGACATGAACAAATTAAGGAATAGGGGGAGACTAGTTTGCATTGCAGGAAAGAATTCACCAAGAAAAAATAAAGACCAGTTTGAAGGAGTACATGTAATGAGTGCCTGTCTGGAACCTTCAAAATACGTGTATATACAGGTACATGTACATTTGTAAAGAAGATGGTATGTATGTATGCCATAATTACAGAGTTAATTTGAAATTATGGCCTATCTACATGTACTATCATAAAACAATCAGACAACAGTGGGTATTGATTAGATATTTGGTGTGTGGTTTGTTAACCCTTTCTTAAAGTTGTTTAAGACACTGGTGATCAATGATTTTTAAGTATTTCTGTTGCACTGAAATTTCACTCATGTACATGTATGTATTGTATATTTGTATGATATAAGCCGTTAATTTGTTTAAATTATATATTTGAATAACAGAATAAAATACTCAGAATGGCCTGGAAATCTTAAGAATGTAATGTACCTTCTTTTTTTTTTTAAATGATCAAAATGTATGTATTTTCTATTCAGATACTGAATTTCTTCCGTCATAGTATTCAGAAAATGTTGATATAAATTGTTTACAAATTTCAAAGGGTCTCCATGCAACTAATTTCTGTCACAATGGTGTAAAATATCAATGTTATACCTACGGTTTATTGGTGTGTGAACTTGATTTAATGAACTTTGGATGTATGTATTTTAGTAATAGCTTATATGCATTTGTAAATATCATTTAAATACACATTTCATGTACATATATACCTCATTCAATTCTGCTTTACTTGCCAAAGATGTCCTTGTACCATCAATTTGAGTCTACTTTATTGGATCGACTTGCTTGCTTCTGTAAATATTTATTGGAATGTTCAATAATAAAATTAAAATTTGTATCTATGACACAACCGTTTTGACTTGTATGATTTATAGATGATTGTGTTGTCACTCTCTATGTATCCCATCCATGAGAAAAGTTGCTTTGGAGACAAATGGAAATGTATGATACAAGTTAACTCTGCCTAAATTAAAGTCACACAAGTAGAATCAATTTCGGGGGACTGAATTATGCAGAAACGTGATATTTACACTTCCTAAGCCAACTTTTTTTTTGAGGGGGGGGGGGGTCCAAACAGATTGAACTTATGCAGAGTTAACTGCATTTTGTACACAAAATATGGGTACTTGTCGCACATTTCACTTCACATAAACATGACCAAATCACCAATATCAAAATCAATCTCACTCAAAGTAACTTACTGCAATGGTGTTATTATCTTAACATACAATGAATTGTGGGACCACTCTTTTAACTTAAAAACATTAATATCAGATGTTTTATTGAAAGATTACGTTTCAAACAAAATAGAGAGTTGTTCTTTGACTGTACTTACTATAAATAACAAATTGTTAGATCAAAGGTTGATATACATGTATGAATACCCTAACACAAAGGCTACATGCACATTGCATACAAACAACAGAATATGATGTACACTGTACAAGTTGACTAAATAGATGAATTTTTGTTTGGTCAAAAATGTAGAATTTCAGTGAAATCTCAAATGATACGAAAATGGTGATCCAATTTATACACTGAAAACAAGTTGGCCAAACTCTGCATATAGATCGGCTCTGGTTGATTGTAGCATGTTATAAGATGTAATTGTTTTCATCATATTGCCTGTATCAATCAAGAAGAGATTTAACTGAGGATATGATCTCTTAAACATGGGAATGTAATACTTTAACCCATACAATCCTAACAAATACAACTAAATAGTACCGGTACACACTCAATTTTTTAAAACATGTATACATGTATGTAAATTTATATGTCCAAACGCAGGGTGCTTACAATGTATATACTTGTGCATTAAAAATAGTGCATTTCTTCGACTTTGATGAGTTGTTTCTCTCTGTAAAAAAGAGGTAACAAATGACAGGTACCAGGATTTCTAAATTGGTAGATTTCTTAGCAGATAAACGCCTTCCCATCTACTAAACATGAAAAACAAAATATAGATTTCACAACAGCTATTTTAAAACCTCCTTACAGCATTTCAAGGTACATTTTCGATTGAACTTATGTACACTAAATCATGAATTATGTGCTAGAAAAAAAACTTTTCTTTTTAAAAAATTTTTTTTTTGCGGAAATGAGGCATTAGACCAAGACCCCTTTTTAATATTTGCAGACATACCGTAGTTCAAGGAGAATTGAAAAGAAAAAAAAGGCAGCAACAAAAAACAGCAAAACCACGCCCACATTTTTTTGCAGTATACAAAACAGTTGTTTATACCGGTACATATTTAAAAAATAATAATGATATTGAGTTCTTGTACATGTACATGTACTCCTGATTATTCCCCTGGCTTGAGCATGGCTGCCATTACGGCACTCTAGCATTTCAAGGAATTAATTCCTGCCAGGTACACATTTTGATGTTGACTAATGACTATAAAGTATCTTTTGAGCTGGAAACGGAAGATTAAAAATGTCTGCTTTTTTGTTTCAAATCTTGTTAAGAGACCTGAATACCTGCACCAATGGATGAAAGACTATTTAAAGCACATTACACAACTTTAATACTTGATCGCTTACAGGTCGGAAATCGTTACCTCAGCAAAAAAAAATTAAAGCGAGGCTCTATCTACATGTACTATGAAGAAAAAAATGGAAGAAATTGTCAATAGCTCGTGATATGCAGCTGTATTGATTCAAATTATTGATATTACACCCCTCCCCCCCCCCCCCCCTCCCAAGAATGAAGCAAGCCCTTTACATTTCTTTTGGTCATTATACATTCAAGTGATTTACCATGATAGCAAATGGAGGTTGAAATTATTTAACATGCACATTTCAGTTGTTTTGGATTGCTAAATCCAGCCTCGATTTTGATTGTTCATTGTTTATCGTCTTGTTCAATATTTTTTTGGGTATTCTGTTACATGTACAGTATTTTGGTTGCAATAAAAAAATATATATACAAAAATGAACGTACATGTATGCTTCACTCCTGGAGAAAAAGAAAGTCATATTTTTTTCTTCTCCTTGGGTTCCTATTCATCCCATTTTTCTGGACTCTCACTTTTAACATCAAGTAGCAAACTAAAGCATGAGGCCGAGAGAGACTAATGAAGGCAAGGTCACTACCGGGTCAAAATTTTGAATATTTGAATATGAGTAAAGTCAACAAATGTTCGATACATTTAAATAAAGTCATAACTTGTCATAACATTTTTCATAACTTCATAGTTCAAGAAGGCCTGGGAGTGGCACTGTATAAACAAACTCTACTCTTCTAATTAATATCTGGTAGGAATTATAGAAAATGTATATGGATAGGAATACTTTGATGTTCAAAAAGTCCATAAAGTGGCACTATCAATCTTTATTGCTTTGTTTGGTTACCTTGACCAATCACACGTCCATGTCAAGGGCAGCTGCAACGGTAACGGGGACGCTCCTTCGGTACGGAATCTTATTCTTGCGGATCACTCGGCCGCAGAGATTCAAGAGGGGTGGCAACGCTAAGTCTTTCAAGAGTTGCTTGGTGTCTGGATTGCTACAGTCCTCGATAACACTGCTACCCGTTTCAGGATTCCTCTTGAGGATAGGGCAACCCCATTCGGCTAAAGGAACCACAATGTTGTTCCGGAATGTATCCGTCTGCTTAGAAGCTGGACACTTCTTTACCAGAAAGTGGAGAGCATTGTAGCCTTCCATGTTCACCTGACATGGGTCTGCACCGCACTTAAGCAGCATGGTCACCAGGCGCTCCTTGATGTTTTTTTCGTCTACTGGCCTGCGGCGGGCCACTACAGGGTAGTACATATGAATGACAGGTAATCCTGCATTCCGTTTGGGATGTCGTACTACCGATGCACCCTCTGGACCCTCCTCAGCAGAGGCTCTCTCTGCTTCATGAAGATGCCGCATGACATCTATCGTCATCTGATATGCCATGACAAACTGGTGCACCAATGTGAGGAGAAGTTCCTTGTCTTCATCATTCAGCTGCGGGTGGTTTGCATAGATAGCGAGCAAAACAAGGATATTTGTTGACTTGTACCTGTGGTACTGGACAGCTTCCTTTCGTCTTTCAGGCGTCATCTCACTGACATCAGGGGACAAATTTATTGCTGCTAATTTTAGAAGGACCACAATCTCCTCTAGGTTACTGTCTGCAAGGCAAACTTGATTAGGATCCAGCAATCTGTTCATACTTTCGACAGCAAAGCCGCAGAAGAACCCGGACTCCATTTCTAGATTTGTTTCGTGTCGTAGTGCCCGAAGTGCCAAGCTTTTACCTTCCGGGGTAGGTCTACATCGGTCTACAAAGTCTCTAATGGCCTGCCAAAGGTAGTTCTTCTGACCTTCCTTGGACAGAATTCGTTCCCGGATAATGAGTGAGATCACCTGGAGGTAGGTTTCATTGGATCGAATCCCGTCTAGTTCCTCCTGGTTTACTGGCTCACAGAAGTCACCGTATGGGGATCTTTCATCAGTTACACCCTTGGGTTTCTCGTGTGGTGAGGTGAGTGCCTTGGCCAGAGTATCCAGCCCTATCTGGTGTCTCTCTTTAAGGAAAAAGTGCGATGCCATCAGCTCAAGGGCTTCTACTGTTTTTTCATGTGACAGATTTTTCATGATTCCTGTACTGTTATAGACCCCTAAGAGATTTCCAGTCAATGCTCCTATCATGATGGGTGTCAAGCCCATTGCATTCTGTACCTGGCTTGCCCCATGCTCCACAAGCATCCTGATGATCCTTTCACCATCTTTAACACAACCTCCTCTGCATCTCATCTCTGAATGCTGATTCCACATGGCACTGAACGCTGAATGCATCGGCAGATTCCCATGTTTGTCCGGGATGTTCGGATCGGCTCCCTTCTGCAAGAGATACTCCACGATGTTGGTGCACATTTGTTCACTCGCAACAGCAAGAGGTGTGCTCTCATCCGTCATTTCTCCGTCTTCCTGACTGCAGATGTACTTCCTGTTCACGTCTGCCCCATGTGCTATGAGGAGCTTGACACACTCAACGTTTCCAGTGGAACTCGCAAAGCATGCTCTGTGCAAAGGGAAAGCATGATTCACCCTTGCACGGTTCTTCAAGAGAACTTCAACTGTCTTGTGATGCCCAACGTTGGCAGCATAAACTAAAGGAGTGAGCTCCTCATTGGTGTAGTCATTGAACTTTGATTCCTCAATGTCAGTGCCGTATTCTTCTACTAGAACTCTCACCATGTCTGTATGGCCGGCGGCTGCGGCTGCCATGAGGGGAGTGCGGTCAAATGGATCCCTCCATAACAGGGCACCTCTCACCCTGCTGGCCCTCTTGAAATGCATCAGAGACCGAAGTCGCTGAACGTCCCCTGTGGAAGCTGCATCAAACACTGCTGGGCCCAGTTCTTCATCATGTCCACTTGCCATCTTCCTGCAAAGTAAAAGAGGGAGATGATTTTAAGATAATTACTTAAAGACTTACATGTACCGGTACATGGTATACTTATAAATAGTACAATTCCCCACTTATGTTTTCAGATCTACAATGGGGCTTGGAAATCTGTTCAAAATTCCTTTAAAGCAATGCCTGTGGGCTGGTAGTCTTTCCCATTCAAAAACGTGTGCGCAACCCACATATATTTAGATTCAAACTGTACAAAACTCAACTGATTTCTCTAAAAATCGGTAGTTTAGTGACAATTGATGACACCTAGCTAAATAGCAGTAAAATACAATTTTTTCAACTCACTGATGTTAGAAAGAATAATTTGAAAATTAATATTGTGAGTCTACTGTCAAACTTGCTTACAGCCACATCGGCAGCACTGTGTGCATTTGTGTATTGACTATTCACGTGTACAATTGCTGCCTATTACCACATAGGGTATAGTGCAGCGCTAGAGGTCAATATGCATTAGCATTGACTCTCTATGGCTTTTTTGGAGTGCATCGACAAACACATGGTTGAGGTCTCGCTTCATTTTGAAAAGACGTCATAACATTAAAAAATGGCAGAACATAGCTGCACACTATGTGTTGTGGCGTGCCCCTGTAATCCAGCTGGAAGTTACAAACTGATTCAGCAGAGGACGAGGTTCGAAACCGAGTCCCGTCTTTCGGATGGTGACGTTTAAACGGTCGGTCCCCAGACGTAAATAATCATATCTGATTGATACACGTCTGTAAAAACACAACACACACACACACGCAGTATTGCCCGTCTTAAATACACAGCATGGCATAGAATCTAATTAGACCCCCTAGGCCCAATGTAAAACCAAAAAAATCTGCACCCTCTTTCAATTCATGAAATCTATGAACATTTCAATGTTCGTAAATATCTCAGAAAGTTACCCTTTTTTTTTAATGAGAAATTTTATGCATAGAGTAAACAACAAGTTATACCATCAAGCCCGTTCTCCGCCATGCTTTTTAAAAGTTAGACGAAGTTGAGAGCAAGACATCCGGCAAACAGCAAAAAATCTGCACCCTCTTTCAATTCATGAAATCTATGAACATTTCAATGTTCGTAAATATCTCAGAAAGTTACCCTTTTTTTTTAATGAGAAATTTTATGCATAGAGTAAACAACAAGTTATACCATCAAGCCCGTTCTCCGCCATGCTTTTTAAAAGTTAGACGAAGTTGAGAGCAAGGCATCCGACAAACAGCACACATGAAAAGAAGCATACGGGACTGAATAGTCAACATTCACACAGAGCCTTCAGCTAATGTACCAGCTAATGTCCGCCATGGTTCATTTTATTATAAGTGAAATTACACCAGTACTCACCACAGATTGTTTTGAGATGAAAAATGAATTGAATGATGTTCAAATCACCAGTGAAATTAAGCTAACGTAACGCTCAGATAAGACTGTCACTGTCAGGCAAAATATAAAAGCCACAGTTAACAAGGTAAACAAGCTAATTTCGGAAACGCCCTCTGCGATAGGTTATGGCGAAAATAATAATCGTCGAAAAAAAAATCTTTGTTTGTGATTATGTTTTGTTTTGATTTTGCTCATGTTTGGTTATTTGAACCAAAATTTAGATTCCTTGTACAAAAGGTGTAAACCATGCATGAATCCAGGATATTTAAAAAATGGACAATCTGAAAGGCAAAGGGGAAACATCAGACCTAATAAAAAATTAATACTTAAAAGTGGTGGTGGTGGTTGTTATTTTACCTGACTGCTAAGAAAACATAAATGCTTGTAAGTAAGCAACCAGACGGCCGACGGCTTTAGGTCCTCTCCGAGGGACCTGGTAATGAGGATGCCTTACCAAAGGGCACTATAGCGCATCGCCTTGGTTACGAACCCGGGTCACCGGATTACGAGACCACTGCTCTACCGATTGAGCTATCGCGCCTCCTTGACAAAAAAAAAAAAAAAAAAAAAAAAATCGGGCCCCGACAAAAAACAACAACAAATGTAACAAATTTTGGTTGAAAATTTTGAAGTTCTTTTTCTCGTGTGTAGTTGAGTTATGGGACAATCATTATAATGAAAAAGAGGCAGCTTGCTCCTCCTGACTCTAGATTTCCGTCCAAGATTTTTTTCTTCTTCAATCTCAATTTATTTTCCATCTTTAAAAACAAATTTAACCTAGTATTGATTCATTGTATATTAAAATAATAATATAAACATAAACATGGAGGGATACCCTTAATAGGCAGGTTGCTTGTAGGCAGGGCCCCGATATACAATATACAATGTATAACTTTGTTAGAGAAATACATAAATAAATAAAAAACTTTGTTAGAGAAATATCTAAACAATTGAGAGAATTATAAAACAGAAAAATTAAATATAAATCAGGAAATTGCGATCACCTAATAACAGCTACTATAAATAGACAGATACAGGTACACGTCCACACACAGACAAACATACACCCTAGCATACACACACACACACACACATGACCATATGCCGACAGTTAAGAGAAAATAAGATAGATGAGATAGAGTAAAATATCACAGGGAAAGAATACATAGAGAGAAAGAGAGAGAGAGGGGGGGGGGCAATCTGAAATAATATTGGAGATAGTTAGTAAGATAGGAAATCATTTAAAAGTCTAGAAAAGTACCTATTAAATGTTCTCAATGATTTTAATCACAAAATAAGTCATTTTAGAGATACCCTGCCGTAAATAAACATTACATCGATAGGCCATTGTATCTCATTTTTAGTTATTTATTTATTTATTTGAAAATATTTATACAGGATGACAATATCAACCAGCGCTCAAAATACACGGGGGCGGTGGGCGATTCGCCCCCGTGGGCTACATAATCGCCCCCGTCAGGTTGCTCACGGGGGCGATTGCAAAATTAAAAATCGCCCCCGTGGAATTATAAAATAAAGATTATCTTTTCTGTCATAACTTTAACACAATATTGAGTTTCAATTTTCAAACCTTAAACCAATGAAATGGAACTTAGATTAGCGTGCAAGATTTCTCGTTTTATTAGTATAGGCCTATTATTACCGTTTCAGCTCACAGTGCAGTGCCGCCGTCAGCAGTGGTTATAGGCCTACTTCTTCTTAGCGGTACGTGTGCACGCTGCCGCGCCATGTCTGCTGGAGCTGGAGGCGATCGCGCAAGGGCAGAAAGATGGACATGGAGAAGTTTTTCGTTGTGAAAGCGTTAACCCGCTGAAATCTGGTGATTTCAAATGACCAGCAAATAATGAACCTCAAACAGTAAATCAATATTAGGGACTTTTAGATCTGCACGATGAGAACGTGGACTGCAACGTGTGACCCCCCCCCCCCCCCCCCCCCCGGCCCCCTTGGGCTGCCAAGTGAAAATGTGATATTAAACCGGGGGGATGCTGGAGAGGAGGACTACTAATCTATTTTATTTTTTTCAGGGGGGGGGGGAGTGAAGCGCCGTTTTAGCATGACTTTCTTTTTAACTCTTACTTTCACCTATCTCAGATAACCCTAAGTTTTTGGTTGCTGCTTTATATGTAGTTGATAATGCATGATTAAAATAAAGAGAGAGAGAGGGACAGCCACCATCATTTTGCAATGGTTCATGCAGGGTTCGTGTAATGTACATTTTGAAACCATTTCTTAGCGTCTCAACCCCAAAGAAATAGCAAAACTATTTTTGAGGAAAAGCATTATACTGAATTAAATAAAGAATAATAGCTTTATATTGGATGATACTAATACTGATACGGGCTAAAGACAATGTGGTATTTGTATAGAGGTATTCCAAAATGAAATTCTGATAATCAACATTTGTTCTGGTATCATAAATGTATATACGCATAATACAACTGATCTTTATGATTTCTTAACGTGACATAGCTTCTTCTCCCCCTGCAAACAAAAAAAGAAAACAAGGTTATTTAATAAAAGGATCATGCGACAAATAATCATTGTGATTCAAATTGATGCAATGATTTTTTTGAATAAGCAATGCTTTTCACCAGAATCTTGTTTGTAAAAACGACTTTTACAAATCTCAGCCATGCAAATCTGCCACTGTGTTGTAAGATCACTTTCAGATTAGGAGAAATGTATTCTTTAATGAGTATTTTACATTGAATGGAACGTCTCAACTCAGTAAGCATGGCTGAGATTTGTAAAAGTTGTTTTTACAAAGAAGATTCGGGTGAATAGCAGTGCTTATTCAAACAAATATTCGCATCAATTTGAATCACAATCATTATTCGTCGCTTAATCCCTTTTAATGACCTTGTTTTCTTTCTCGTTTGCAAGGGGAGAAGAAGATATGTCACGTTAAAGACATCATAAAGATCAGTGTTGTATGCGTATATTATACACAGGCCAGTAACAGCTATGTAGCTTGTAAATTTGTAAGAGGGAAAATGCTGATTGAAATGATAATGATGAAATAGCAAATAATTGAGGAGTATCATAGGTACCAATTAAATGGATATTTGTATAAAAAAGAGCCCCCGTCAGTACTAAAAGAGCCCCGTGAGAAGGCTCACGGGGGCTCTTTTTGGGGGGAAGAGCCCCCGTGGACAAAAAATTAATTTGAGCCCTGATATCAACCAAGGCTGTTTTTCATATTGGTCCTGTTGTATAGTGACACCGATTTCCTAGCTTGGTACGACACAAACTTGACAATTATTGGACGAGATCGCTTTTTGTGCATTATCTTGTCATTGTCATCGTTGGAGGTTTCTTGGTTACGGACCGGTGCTCGCGGTCTTTGATTGGAGCTCCTATACTCTGCGCTATTTTAGGATGAAGCTGAATTCCAAGCTTTTCCTCCGCAATCTTGCACACAATCATGAGCGTCAATTCTGGGGGGACGGGGGGACACCCCCCCCCACGAATTTTCAGGTGGTGAAATGTCCCCCCCCCCCCCATGATTTGGGGTTAAAATCTTCTTCTTTTTTTTCTTCCTTTCTCTCTTTCTCTCTTTGTTGAGAAAAATCAAGCCAAATCAGGCGATAAGATTTTATTAATAGAAGCGTCATTAATATTACATTCACATTACCGGAAGTTCCAACATTGGTTTACGATGAAAATCCTTTCACTAACTGAAAAAAAATAATCAAATTAATCCCTTGTATCTTTCAAACCTTATGGCTGATTGTTCTATGGAAACGACAAATTAATCTATCTACCCCCCCCCCCCCCCCTTGCGTTCTTGTTCCTGTTAGTTGAACTTAAGAGTGTTTTCTTTTTAATTTGGCAAAAATTATGCACCAAATCGAGCCATCTATCCATCAATTTCAAAAAATTCTTCAACTTCTCGGGGGGGGGGGGGGGGCAGATCCCCCCTCAGACCCCCCCCCCCCCTCCCCTGCGTTCTTGTTCCTCGTTAATTTGGCAAAAAGTATGCACCAAAGCGAGCCATTTAAGCATCAATTTTTAAAAAAATCTTCAACTTCTGAGGGGGCACATCCCCTCAGACATCCCCCCCCCCCCTGCGTGGCGCGCCCATTCGCCCCCCTAACAAAATAACTTGGCGTCGCCCTGTCTGAAATTGTGTCCCCTCCACGGTCTAATTTGGATTAACGCCCATGCACACAATGTGTCTTCGTTCTTATTCTCAGGAACGCCAACCAAGCGAAAACAATTCTCTCGCGATTATTGTTCTTGATCGTTGCAGCTCCGCATCAGGGCACTGATCTGTGATGATTATATAATATTATGCAGGTCATACACATAAAGGCGGAATCATCCTCTCGACAATATTTTGCTGAATCACCCTTAGCTTTTCAGTGGAGCGGAATTAATGCAAGCAGAATAGAGTTCAAAGTTCATTCTATCTCGAAATGTGTGCATGAAAGTTAGGTAAACTGTACGACTACGGTAAAACATCATTCGGTCAATGCCATCCAACAAAAAACAAAGCAACAACTAGAAAGCCTGATACCTAACAATGGCTGCAAACGTAGAAAGTAAGTATACATTTGAATAAACTATTATTCGTTAAAGTTTGTTAGATTTTTTGTTATCATGAATGTCAATTTGAGGTCAGAGAAGTCAAATTATGACTTGGCCTTGCTGCATATCGCCAAAAACAAACTGCAAAGTTGAGATCTAAGGTATACCAGCGTAAATCATGAAGGTTGTCCTGTATACCCTCTCATTTATTTCGCTTAAATTTGAATGAAATGATATATATATGATATTCTCCATCGTCATTATCATATAATCAAAATTGTTATTATTGCTTTCATAACGTAGAAAGTAAGTACATTTTGTTAAACTATTCTTGGTTAAAGTTTGTTAGATTTTGTTTATCATCAATGTCAATTTGAAAAGTCGATATCTAAGGTAACAGGTAACAGCGTAAACAATTAAGGTTATCCTGTATCCTCTCAGATTTAGCTTAGATTCGAATGAAATGATATATCTATGAAATTCTTCATCGTCATTATCATATAATCACAATTGTTATTATTTTCTTTGTTGTTGATGTTGTTGTTATTATTATGTTTTATTATTGTTTTCATTCATGTTGTTATTACAAGTATTTAGTAGCAGTAGTGTAATAATACTTTTATTATTAGTAGTATCATTACTGTCATAAATAGACAGCCGCTCGTCTATACATATTGTGAAACATCCCGTTCCTTCACGATATTCAATTCAATTCAATTCAATGTATTGATTTGTCCGATGTCATTCAACATGGATTTTCTTTTTGCTCACATGTAAAATAAAGGCTCTGAAAATGTTTACAAAGAACAGAAATATAATACAAAGCAGGGATACATTTTGGGTGATGACAAAATAAATTCATACATAATAATGATTCTCGTTTAGTTATATGGCTTCTGTGATCTCCGCATTTTCAATCACTTCCTTCAAGATAAGATTGGACAAGCACTGGTCCTCTCAGCACCAAATGCTTCCATAACATTAATACATATATTTTGTGCGTCCACCCGCCATGCGAGCAAAAATAGTTCAGATTTATTAGAACGAAGCACCACTGACAATGCAACGACCGGAAGTTTCAACAGGATCACCTCACACTTCCGTATACTGATGCTGATGCTGAGTTAGTTTCCTTATTGTTACGTCATCTAGCTGTCTTCATGCAATCTATTTTATACAAATTATTTACCACTATACACATATAAAATTAGGCTTTTAAACTGAAGTATATCGGAATAAATCTGAAAAATTGAGAATACAAATGCTGAATCATATGGGCCACTGATTACCATGGACCACACCGTAATAATGACTTTGACCAAATATTAATTCCTTAACGAAACAGAAACGCAGGTAACAAAAAGGCATCATACATGTATTAATATAAAACGGGATGAATGTACCCTTGTAGTTCTTACATCAAATATATATCATCTCTTTCGTTTTGGGGGCATTTACCTGTAGGAAGTTATCAATAGACCAGTTTGAAAAAATTGTCAACTCTTTTCGACAATTCTCTTCTTCCCTGTTTATCAGACCATTCAATACTGTGTCGTCTGCATACTTCTTTAGATAGTTACATCATCCGTTACTGATTAACCATCATTTTGTAAATCATATGAAAAGGAGTGCCGACAAAACACATCCTTGAGGAGAACCGGTACACACTAAGAAAAAATGGTGCAACTATGCACCTTTAGGGGTTCAAACCGATGCAACAATAGCAGCACCTTTAGGGGTTAATTCCTGCACCCTTTTTAAAGGTGCAATCCTGCACCCTCTAAAAGGGTGCCAGATTGAACCTTTTAGGGGACGTTAGTAATCTTTATGGTTCAATCCTGCACCTTTAGGGGTGCAAACCGATGCAACAATAGCAGCACCTTTAGGGGTTGAATCCTGCACCCTTTAATAGGTGCAATCCTGCACCCATCATCGAGGAATACAAATGGAATCTGCTCGTACACAAATATATATTAAACATGCATGATGTTTCTTTGTTAGTAATCATATAATTAATATATATATTGCTAAAAACGTGAATGTAATTGTAACATGATCAGAAAAAATAAATAATATTGCTTAATAATTGCCGAAGGAAAATACAAATCACAAAATTGATGTGCATTGTCATAAATGCTTAACAAATCATAATAAATGTATTTTTATGTGAACGCGTAGAAAGTATCATGAATATGCATGCACTATGCAAATTTTTATTTTGCACCCTTTTAGGTCGATAGGGTTCAATTTTTTGGGAAGGGTGCAAACTCTTATATTGCACCCTTTTTTGAACCCCCTTTCCTTCAATAGGGTTCATTTTTATGTAAAGGGTGCAAACTCTTATTTTGCACCCTTTTTTGCACCCTTTTTTCTTAGAGTGTATTCAAAACAATAAATTCATGTTGTACTTCTACCTTTTGAGTTCTATCGGAAAGAAAGTCCCTAATCCATAAAATCATAAACGGCTTTACATATAGCTCTCTTTATTTGTCTATCATGACATAATTATGTACCTGTATTGTGTTAAATGATGGGCCTACTTCTTAGTAGGTCCATGGTTAAATGCAGAATAGAAATCAACAGGAAACATCCTTGCATATTGACTTAGTTTATCAGTGCGTTGTGCAATCATGACTGTGTACTACGGTAATCAGATTAAAATATTTCTTAGGTCGGTACGCACATTGTAATTTGTCAATTAGGTTTGATTTTTGAGACATCGAATGTTGTAAAAGGTCGTTTGGTATCAACGTTATCAGGGCACCTCCCTGAACAATTTCTAGGTGGACTAAGGAAATGGTTGAACAAAAAGATGGCGGCAATTTTTCATAATGACCATTGTGTACTACTTTAGAATTTACTCAGCTTGTTCAATAACCTACTCGCATTAATACTCCAAACAGCACCTCTTTCGTAGATTTAATATGTGTTTCCAACACAATTGGTCCATTGAAAACTGGAGTTCAATCAGTCGGACTAGGCGACCATTATATTTAGTGTACTTAGTCACAAAATTCACATTATCCAAAGTTAACGCCCCAAATCTCTTCTTTTAGAACGTTCAAGTCCTTGAACGAAAATGACTTTCAAAATGACCTTGCATCCATTGATTGGGATTCAGTCTTCTCCTTAGAAGACATGCAATGTCGACCAAATATGGGAAATATTTTCGTCATTAATACTTGGTGTTAGCCCTAGAGAGGGACTTCAACAAAAAGAAGTTCGACCAATTTAAAGCTAAGATACCGGAATCCAATTATCAAGCTAATCTTCAGCAACCTGTAATATAACCAAACCATGAAGTTGCACTGGGAAAAATGCACTTGCTTTCGAAACAAAGCGAACAATTTGAATATAAAATTGAAAAGGCTTTATTATAGGACTAAGCTTACGGAAAGCAGCAACGATTTTTGGAAAAGTTGAAAGGTGATAAATGATTTACTTCCAAGCGAAAAGTTTGAGAAAGAAAGGCATATTGTTATTAACCAAGAAGTTATTTCTGATAAACAACAATAGTACAATAAATATTTATTCAACCCATCATGACCTCATGACTTGAAACATTGAGATAAAAATGGTAGATATTTTATAATCATGAATATTTTGTTCTTAATACTTTCCAGGAGTTTTGGTTACTGGCGCATCAGGCTACATAGCCACTCACATCGTGAAGCAACTACAGGAAGCTGGGTACAGGGTCAGAGGAACCGTCAGAAGTGTATCCAACCCCGTCAAAGTTGGACCCCTCAAGGAGCTCTGTCCTAACCCTGCTCATGAGCTGGAACTGGTGGAAGCCGATCTGACCAAAGATGAAGGATGGAAAGAGTAAGTTACACCAGCGAGACCGACACAAGGGGCCCGTTTCACAAAGCCTCAATGACAAATGACAAAAATGAGTTACAAATCTGCTGATATCCAATCAGAAGCATAAATTGATTGTATACATACATCACGGTCAATAGCCAAATAGCAATCGGTTGCTGCGTTATGGGGCCCTGACCCGCAACCCCCCCCCCCCCCATCCCCCACTCAGTGTTATTTAGGGTACGCATATGCATGTTCACTCCCTTTGAAAGAACCCCCTATAAAGTCCGGTGTGTAAAGTCAATACGGGACGTTTTTTGTGTGTATTACGATAACAAATATTAATTTTGTATAATTATTTTGATTGGCATTTCAATCTTTTTAAAGAGCTGTCCAAGGATGCAGCCATGTCCTGCACACAGCGAGTCCGTTCCCCTTGGCTGCCCCGAAGCACGAGGACGAACTCATCAAACCAGCCGTGGACGGTACGGTCAGGGTGCTACAGGCGTGCCAGGAGGTGGGCGGGGTCGAGAGAGTTGTGGTGACCAGCTCCTGTTATGCAATCAGTGGTAAGACATGGGTACTAAATACTACCCGCCGCGGCACTAATGTCCTTTGGTAAGACATTGATCTACATTTGCCACTCTCCATCCAGGTGTTAAATGGGTACCCGGTAGGATGCGAAAGTTAATGTGGTTTGATTAGCAAGTGGCGCTTGTAAAGTGGCGACTGGCTGGAATGCTCCCCACGGAGTGGAGAATGTGCATACATTATTTGCGGATAATTATGAATCCGATGACCGGGGTAATATTATATATCTGTAAAGCGCATCGAGAGGGCCTGCGGCAGCGCTCAAAATACACGGGGGCGGTGGGCGATTCGCCCCCGTGAGCTACAAAATCGCCCCCGTCAGGTTGCTCACGGGGGCGATTGCAAAATTAAAAATCGCCCCGGTGGAATTATAAAATAAAGATAATCTTTTCTGTTATAACTTTAACACAATATTGAGTTTCAATTTTCAAACCTTAAACTAATGAAATGGAACTAAGATTAGCGTGCAAGATTTCTCGTTTTATGAGTAGGCCTATTATTACCGGTTCAGCTCGCAGTGTAGTGCCGCCGTCAGCAGTGGTTATAGGCCTACTGCGCCGTTAGTAGCGGTGCGTGTGCACGCTGCCGCGCCATGTCTGCTGGAGCTGGAGGCGATGGGGCAAGGGCAGAAACATGGTCATGGCCTGGAGAAGTTTTTCGTTGTCAGCAAATAATGAACCTCGACCAGTAAATCAATATTAGGGACTTTTAGATTTGCACGATGAGAACGTGGACTGCAACGTGTGACCTCCTTTTAAGGCACTGCCAGTGCTTAAAAGGACGTCACATATTGTGAAGGACGTAACACGTCCACGTCCACGTCCATGCAAATATAAAAGTCCCTTTTGAGGAGAAGAGGAAGACCAAAATGTCGTGGAATCAGGGGCGGCGATTTCTGTTAATGACCGGGGGGGACGAAATGCGATTTTTTTTTTTTACGAGGATGTTATGCGAGGGAGCGTAGCGACCGAGCGAGATTTTTTTTGCAATTTTATTAGTCTAAACGCTGCACTCTTGGGCTTTCCAGAGCCTAAAAGTGTGTTGCAGTCATTATTCAGTATATGCTATACAATTTGTTTTGAGGGGGGGACGTGTCCCCCCCCCCCCGTCCCCCCGGGATCGCCGCCCCTGCGTTGAATGATATGGTAACATGGGCAGATCTACGGCGGGGGGGGGGGGGGGGGTAGGGGGTTTAACCCCCTCCTCCCACCCCCCGGCCCCCTTGGGCTGCCAAGTGAAAATGTGATATTAAAGCGAGGGGAGGGGGATTCTGGAGAGGAGGACTACTAATCTATTTTATTTTTTTCAGGGGGCGGGGGAAGTGAAGCGCCGTTTTAGCATGACTTTCTTTTTAACTCTTACTTTCACCTATCTCAGATAACCCTAAGTTTTTGGTTGCTGCTTTATATGTAGTTGATAATGCATGATTAAAATAAAGAGAGAGAGAGAGAGAGAGAGAGAGAGAACCACCATCATTTTGCAATAGTTCAGGGTTCGTGTAATGTACATTTGAAACCATTTTTTAGGGTCTCAACCCTAAAAAAATAGCAAAACTATTTTTGAGGAAAAGCATTATACTGAATTAAATAAAGAATAATAGCTTTATATTGGATCATACTAATACTGATACGGGCTAAAGACAATGTGGTATTTGTATAGAGGTATTCCAAAATGACATTCTGATAATCAACATTTGTTCTGGTATCATATGTATATACGCATAATACAACTGATCTTTATGATTTCTTAACGTGACATAGCTTCTTCTCCCTCTGCAAACAAAACAGAAAACAAGGTTATTTAATAAAAGGACCATGCGACAAATAATCATTGTGATTCAAATTGATGCAAGGATTTTTTTTGAATAAGCAATGCTTTTCACCAGAATCTTCTTTGTAAAAACGACTTTTACAAATCTCAGCCATGCAATTCTGCCACTGTGCTGTAAGATCACTTTGAGATTAGGAGAAGTGTATTATGTAATGGGTATTTTAAATTGAATGAAACGTCTCAACTCAGTAAGCATGGCTGAGATTTGTAAAAGTTGTTTTTACAAAGAAGATTCGGGTGAATAGCAGTGCTTATTCAAACAAATATTCGCATCAATTTGAATCACAATCATTATTTGTCGCTTAATCCCTTTTAATGACCATGTTTTCTTTTACGTTTGCAAGGGGGGAAGAATATATGTCACGTTAAAGACATCATACAGATCAATGTTGTATGCGTATATATTATATACACAGGCCAGTAACAGCTATGTAGCTTGTAAATTTGTAAGAGGGAAAATGCTGATTGAAATGATAATGATGAAATAGCAAATAATTGAGGAGTATCATAGGTACCGATTCAATGGATATTTGTATAAAAAAGAGCCCCCGTCAGTAATAAAAGAGCCCCCGTGAGAAGGCTCACGGGGGCTCTTTTTTCGGGGGAAGAGCCCCCGTGGACAAAAAATTAATTTGAGCCCTGGCCTGCGGTCCTGAAATGCATATAAAGACGAACTATTATTATTATTAAATGGTATACTATGAGATATAAAATAACCGACGTATAGTATGAGCACAAAACTGGTACAGTATGCATGTGGTATAGCGTGAGCAGTAGCAGGTGCACTATTAAAGGTTCCGTGCCGGTTCCTGTCATTATAGTGACAATGCATGGAGTTAAATGACAAGGGTATCAGAAATGATATGAGGTGACAGAAAGAAAGAGAAAAACAGAAAGAGAAGAGGGTTGGGGGGGGGGGGAGTTTTAATATCAGTTATGCAGTTTATACCTCCAGCCATTTAGGGCGGGGGGGGGGGGTGTAGCCTAGGGCTCGATAGATGATTCATTGAGTGGGGTAAGTAGTGTGCGTGCGTGTGTGTGGGATGTTTTCCTCCCGTTGCCTTCCACTTCTCTCTCTCTCTCTCTCTCTCTCCCTCTCTCTCTCTACCTCCCTCTTCCCTTTTCGTCAAACGAATGGGGGTGGGGCAGGTACGTGTTCCTATTGTGCCCTTCTATAGCTACGTCAATGAGAGGTGTATTACATATGCATTTTATTGGTTAGAAGTGAGTTAAATGCGTCATCACTAGCTGCCCTAAGTAATTAATGCATGCAGTTTTAGATACTTATTTGGTACAATTAGAATTAAACTATACGTACACAGCCGCAACGATCGCTAATGAAAGAAAAAAAATTGAACAATTTATACAGTCAAACCTGCTTTTGTGACCACCTGTCTACAAAGACCACCTGCCTAAAAGAAAGTTTCCCTTGAAAATGGTTTCTCATTGAAACGTGTACTTAAGGAACCTGTCTACAAAGACCACTTTTGGCGTTTCCCTTGGGCGGTCGCTATATACAGGTTTGACTGTATCACCTTAGCCATCACAATTTGAAATATGCGATCATGACAATGACATATTACATACTCCAATCCTGATTTCTAGAGGCAATTTAATAGGGTATTGAAATTAGCAATCAATTTCTTTACAATCGTACTGAACAAAAACATTCAACTGGGTAGCATTTCACGAAACCGTCGTAAGAACAGATTCACCGACATCTCATTGAAACGCGTGTATTACACTGTACACGCATATTGTGTCGGCAAACTTGTACCCTTTACGTTGGTTTCTTGAAACGATACCCCTGTATCTTTGATTTTTATTTGTAGATTTGGCTGAGACCCCCAAAGAGCCTCTGACAGAGGAAAATTGGTTGAAAGTGGAGAAGCTTGGTCTTAACGCAGCTTACGCCAAGAGCAAGGCACTTGCTGAAAGAGCTGCCTGGGATTTCGTTGAAAAACTTCCAGGTACCTGTATGATTCTTTTATTTTAAAAGATGGTTATTCACTTGTGTACAATGTTTAGTACCACCCCTGTCATCATCATCATCATCATCATGAAAATAAGAAGCAAATGAAGAAGAAGAAGAAAACAGAAGATTATGATTAAAAAAAAATTAAAAAAGAACTTAGGAGAATAAATGCAATAATAACAAAGAATATTATGAAGAGGATGATGAGGATTTTGAAGAATAAGAAGAGGAGGAGGAAGAAGAAGAAGATAATGGGAAAGAAGAAGAAGTATATACTGATTAAATTACTTTGGAAAAAAAACAGTGATCCATCCATCAAACATGGATATTCTCTTCCTTCTTCCTCCTCTTATTGTTATTTTTGTTGTTGTTCTTCGTCGTCTTTTTCTTCTTGTTCTTCTTCTCAGGCTCGTTCACCATCTTCTCACACCATGTATTCACCTTTTTTTTTTCTCCCTTCTATTTTTTCTTATTTTTTCTAATATTTTACTCTTTCAACCACAATTTTTTTTTAAATCCATTAAAAGGTACAAGTACGAAGAAAACGATTCTTTTGAGAAACTAGATCAAACTGGATCGCGACCTTTATGCACAACTCAAAAAGGCGACTTTCCGTATTAACGATATAATTCATGTGATATGCAAGTACAGCCCTATAATTGAAAATCTGTTGACCTTTGACCTATACTACCGCTTCTTGCAGCTGAATCCAAGTTTGAGCTGGCCGTCATCAATCCGTCCGTCGTGTTGGGTCCGGCGCTGTGCGGAGCTCCTGGGACCAGCGTGGAGATCGTACGCCGTATGATGGAACGCGACCCCTTCCTGGCAGCTAAGGTCAGCTTCCCAGTCTGTGACATACGCGACGTCGCTAAGGCCCACGTCGTTGCCATGACACTACCCGAGGCAGCAGGTAAGCCTACTTGGATGGGTGTTACGATCATCAGAACATTGCACCTGAGTGGTATATCTGCTTTCAGTTAACCCATATAAGTTTCTCGGGGAGCGGCGATCCCATGAAGATATATATATATAAATATATTTTTTTTAAATTCATTTCATCATTATTATCATTATTTCTTCTTTCCCCCTCTTTTTGTAATGGGGGGGGGGGGGGGGGGGGGGGAGGCTTAGATAAGAAGCAGACAGTGGGAAGCTTTGTGAAGAAAATAAATCATTATTTTGGGGCTACAGAAAGTCCATGGTAGTAAATGGAAGTTGCCTACTAAACATTTTCGTCGGTTATAACAACAACAACAACAACAACAACAACAACAACAATAATAATAGATTAAGTCTTGTTTACCCAGGGGAGCCTTATCAGTATTAAAATTGTTCTACCTGAGGGCTCTGAAATCATATTATTGCCCCGCCTTAAGCTTCCATCCTCCATGGTTGTACGAACCATGCTCTGGCGACGAATACTCCGCATCAATCTTTAACCGAAATCTAAATGTCAATCCCAAACCAGGCAAAATACCTATAACACCAATCATAAACTAAACTAAAACCTAATTGGAATTCTAGCCTGAAACCGATATTCTACTTGATTGCAACCTGCCGGTTTTCCTTTGACCCAAGTATGGGTAATACGAACCTTTATCTTTGATTTTTTTTTTAAAGAAAAAAGAAATGCGGAGCAATAGACCGGTTTATATTATTTACATATTCAAATACATGGATGTTTCTTTCTTAAATAGATGAACTAAAATAATCGGAATCCAGTATGCATACATTACTTGTTGCTCTACCAGGCTAGCCTCTGGCAAGCTTTTAAGTTTTAGGTTGTCAAGAACAAACTATGTTAAAAAAAAGTATGCATAGAATGTGAATATGTTAATAAACCGGTCTATATAATTGTTGCCGGAGCATATAATAATGTCGGAGCACTCGGTAGATGTTTAATTAAATCATGTTAAACTTGAACTTGTATCCTTTTATTCTAGGTAATCGGCACATCATCGCTCCATGTACATTATGGTATCTGGAGATGGCTAATGCCCTGAGAGAGGAATTCGGCAAGCAGGGTTCGTAAAGAGATCATTTCATAATAACTTTTCGAAATTTTTACACATTTTCCCCATTTTACTCCTTTTCTCTCTCATCACAAAATACATTATAATTGTAATTGCCTAATCTCCTAAAGGAAGAATTCAGTAAGCAAGGTACGTAGAGACTCATATTTTTACAACATTTGTCTAAATTTCTTGCATATAGTGAAAGATAAGATTATATCGAACATTCATTTGAAAATCTGAACTATATAATAGTGTTCTCTTTCTTTTTTTGCTAAGTGTTTATTTCACATATATAACACGAAAAGAAAGGTTATAAAGAATGAAGACATCTAATGACTCTAATCAATCAAATTTATTATTTGGACCTTCCCCATAGGCTACAACCCGCCAACAAGTTTAGCCCCGTATTTTTTGCTGAAGGTGGGTAGCTGGTTTGACTCTTCCGCGAAAACGATTGTCCAAATTCACGGCCACAAGGTTAATTTCTCCGATCACAGAGTGAGTATTAAAGGCCCACTGCACTACTTGTAGCTACTTGCGCCCTCTTACAACAAACAATGCCTAATCGGTGACCATCGGTCCCCCATGATCCTCTTTTTCTTATGTTAACTGAGAGCTGAGTTGATGAGATAACCACCTGTCCAGTGACCTTGCAGGGCGCTCTAATCCCTCCTGTAAACTATGGCAGATAAGCTTTAAGACCCGGTCACAAAGAATCACTACAAAATATCAAAGAAAACCAAAACCTTCATTCCAAATTGTTTTTTTATTGTAAAGTTAAAAGATTTCGATAAAATCTAGGAAAATTTGCACGGAGTTGGAAAGTTGAATCTTTTGTAATAACTTGTCATTAGAGAGAGACATTTGATTTGTTGACATTTTTATGGACACCTCTTCATGCTTTTTGTCCATGTAATTTCACAAATCTGTTATTTTCTTCTAATTCATATTTGTTCGTGATCCGACTTCATTACATCTTAAGGAGAATATCGTTCTGCGTACTATATCTTATTTTCAGAGATCATCTAAATCACAAGAAAGAAGGAAAACGTTTCTTTTTTAATAAAAAAGGCCCGGGTACTCGCCTAATACGGTATACGGCGATGTGCCTCTCCAACGGGTAACTTTTTTGCAAAAAATCCCTAAACATGGGGTATGATTTTGTGCTGCAAAATCCCTAAAAGTGCCCCCACTTTTCAGATCTTGGCCTTAAACATGAGTAACTATTTTCTCCAGGATAATATCTCACCCATAATCTAGCTAAAGGGAAAATTCAGAAAATCCATACCAAATACGATTATTCCCCGCCTCCCCGGGATGGAGTGTTGTCCACAAAAGATGTCATCAAATTGAATGTCGCTCTCTGGTGACATTCATTATGTCACTACCTTTAAGTTATTTCAAAAAGCTTTAACTTCCTTATTCCTTACCCAATTTTGTTCCAATTTCAACAAATTCTATTCAAATATTTAAAATTTAAATAACTTGGTAAGAAGGTTTTTGTTTCCTGTAAAGAACCACAGTGAATCGCCACGAATCACAATGACCCACAAAGAATCACAACGAATTACTTCGAATCATAACGAACATGACGAACCTCAATAACCTATATGCCCCTCAAAAGCTGCGAATGATGAAAGTGATCGCTATTTAATACCAATCGTAATTAAACTGATCAATTAAAAGTAACTAATTAAATGGAGTAATACCTACTAACTTGCAATTTATTCGAATATCAACATTCAAAAGAGGTATTTGCAGGTCAAGATCTACTGTAGGACTCGCGATCAGCCTGGATCAATCGTATCTCTTTCATAAGAGACAGGACTCTGGTACAGTAAACCTTTGTCAGTGGGAATACAAAGGATGTAGCAGGTGGTTCTAGGACACCTACCCCCTGGACAACCACCGCCAGAAAACCACCCCTATGATACCCATCCTCTAGGACAACTACCCCTAGGGCAACCACCCTCTAGGACGACACTACCCCTAGGACAACTACCCCTGGATAACTACCCCCAAACAACTACCCCTAGGACAACTACCCCCCGGATAACTACCCCAGACAACTACCCCTAGGACAATTAGTCCCCAGACAACTACCTCCTACGACAACCATCCTCCAGGACAATTCCCCCAGACAACTATCCTAGGGGGTAGTTGTCTGGGGGTAGTCGTCCTAAAGGGTGGTTGCCCTAGTGGGTAGTTATCCTAGGGGTGGTTATCTGGTGGGTGGGTGGATGGCCAGGGCCGGGGTAGGTGTCCGGATACGAGCAGGGGGGGGGGGCGGGAGCGTGATTATGTGATGTAAATGACACCGGGAGTACTCCACTTTTGTCAGGAAGAATTCGTAACTTCTAGCTTTCTATCTGCAATACGATGACAATATGAATGTGACGACTGCCGTACGAAATATGACGGCATTCATAGTTACGAAAGGGTTACGAAAATCGTAAGAATATGACATCAACTAACCAAACTTAACCTAAATCTAGCCAGTTATATTCAGTTTTTTTCATTTGTTTCGTGTATGTCATACATCCTGTTAACAGAAGTCACTCTCTTTTGCACCTCAGCTTCGTCAAGTCCTCGGCATCACACCGTACGATCCCAAGGTTACACTGGTCGACATGGCATACTCGTGTATTGATCGCGGTTTCATCGTGAAGAAGAGTGCCTACAAACCACGGGACTGAATCTAATCAGCCAGTCAAATTGGCAATGCCATAGTACCCATAGTTGCGGCAAATGGATCATGTTTTCCTCTTTTATACCATTTGGCTTGAGGTAAACTCGTGTTTTTCCCCACAAATTGGTATGAATTGGTGTTGGTTTAATATTATTGATAGAGCTGTTATCGTATGAAAATATGAAAAGTATTACTTATTGCATGGAATGGAATGGTATTTTATGGAACAATGTCTGTAACGAGACTTTTCGAGGAATGTTTGAGATGTTTACACTCCTTGAAAAAAGCAAGTAAGAATGAAACAAACCTGTGAAGTATAACTTATTTCATAATAGTTTTTTATACATGTACTTGCATTTATCATAGTTAGAAATAGTTATTTTGGGCATTTTCGTAATATGTTATTATTGTAGTTATCATTTGTACAATTTTAAATTGTAAGTAAAGGAAAGAAATTTTTCCCTTTTTATAAGTAACACGAGAACATATGTAAATATGAAAATATGTCATGGATCACAAGCGCTGTACTTCACGACATGTACAAGTATACCAATATTATACTGTAAATCTGTAATCATATTGGGGTGTCAAATTGTATTATACAATTAACCCCTAGATACTAATCCAATGATTGGTCAAAAGCTGTCACGTGTCATTTTTTCCTGAGACTATCCCACGTTTTCAAAGTCGCCACTCATAACATTTAATTCTTTCGAATTTCAAACAAATTTATTTCTATTCATATTTTGTATAGGTTCAATGTATAATTTTATTGCAAATATGGTAATAATATTCAGATTCCTGTATAATGTACCAAGCAATCTGCCATAATGTACAACGATGGCGACCCGATACATGCTCCGGCGGCGGTTGCTCCAGGTTTTATTTTCATCAGGGATGTGGGGTTAGGATTGAATTAGTTGTTGGGTTTTGAGCTGGGTTTGTGCTTGGTGGTGGGGTTGGGTGCGGTGTAAGTATCTTGTCCAGGCTCGGGATTGGGAGTTCGATTAATGTACTGAATTGCCGCGGAGTAATTGTAGCCGGAGCAGGTGTACAATCATAATATGTGTACTAAACGAATTGCAATTTTACTACCATAATGTTATTATGCATATGTTTTACGTGTAATTTTTCTTTGTCACTGATGTATACTTTGTTCGGGCCGCGAATGTTTTTTTTAAAGAATTAAACCACTTTATTGAGGACATGCAGGGATGTAATGTAATGTATTCCAAAAATAGTAGGAGAGAAATGCCATTATCTACAGGTTTACTAAAAATTTAGATCGAAAAATTGTTGTCGATGGAGATGATGATGATGATGATGCTGATGATGATGATGATTTATAACAGATAGGATCAAGAGACAACCTTCCGATGAAAAGAAGATTTTTATATTTATCTTAAAAAGAAGGTAGAATGCAGTTTTCGTTACAAATAGATATGTTTATTGTGGGTCCGAGCATAAATACTATTTACAAGGCATGAGGTAAAACAATTAAAAGTCAAATCATTTATCGTGATAGATCAAATCAACTACATCAAATACACACTTTAATAGTCATTCATTTCTTTCAAGAGGGTGTTTCACAAAGATCTTAAAAATATATTCAAAAGCAAATATTCAAGTATTTTAGACTTTTCATAAATTCCAGATCAAGGAACATGAAATCTCTTTGAAGATAGAAAATATGAATGATTTGAATCAACATGTTATGCCTTTAAAAAAATCTTTTACAAAATCTTTTCAAAGATGCTAACGATGCTTAGAGATAAGTTCAACTTAAAAATCTTTGTGAAACACCCCCAGGACTACTAATTTCTTTCATTCACCATCAAATTCTTTAAAAATGTGACATAAAAAGTCTGCATTACGACAGTAAAAATACAATCCTTGTAATCTACCGCGATCTATTTAGACATTCAGATGACTTCAATATCATTAATGATGAATAAGAATAAGAAAGCGAACTTAGTCACTACGATCCTGCGGTCTCTCCTCCAGGTTTTACCGACTTTAATTCATTTTGACAAGAGACCCCCAGTCTCTTTACAATCTATTTAATGAAATGAAATATATAAAATTGAACATAAGAACATGGGGCACATTTTGCTCATTAGGAGCATCTTCATGTTAATATTGCCATCTGCGGATCGATAAAAATGAACGCAACTTCCCTTAATTGACCGAGCATAATGAATGACAACTCATATCGTCACTGATCGTATGTTTAGAATATTTGAATATCTATGTCATTGGGGCAAAAGTTAACTGAGCAGCACCGTGTTGAGTCTTGGCTTATTAACTGAAAATCGAGTCAATCCTTGCACACTGCATGGATCAATGTCATTTTTATAATCACTGCCAAATCATCGTCCGTTAAATAACACAATTCGAAACACCATTATTACGTCATCGGTTGACTATTGATGATGGTAAGAATAACAGCTGCATGTGAAATAGCACCAAGTTCGTAATTCTGCTTGCATTTTTTTCAATAAAGATGGAAGATAATGCGACATAGAAATACCAGATCGTCGCTGTTCACGTACACAAAAGTACATTTTATGTAATTATGAAAAATTAGGATATACATTAGAACTTGGACCTTCTGATCCATTTTCAGAGACATGGATGAAAAGCAAGCTATTGACTTTACAAGTGGCACTGACACATTTTACACTTCAAATCATCAACTAAAGCTTTCTTGGTTGAAATGCAATTGTGCTTTGTTTCTGTTGAGGCGATTACACAATCGATGGACGCGTGACGTCATCTTCCTTGGCCCGCAGACGAACACACCAATATTCTGTCTGTTGATTAATAAAGGAATGTGATAAATTATAAGAAAGAAAAATATCATGAGGAAAATTGGAAATGGAAAAGGTGAATGTATTATTTTGTCGACATCTTTAAATTCCAAAAAGAAACTTTCACAAGGAAACAAATTAACAAAGAAAAATCTGGGTTTTTTTTCTTGGATGAGTTTTTACATTTTTAAAAATGAATGTTGGTTTATCTTATTAAATAAACATGAGAACCGAAAAATTGTGATGTGACAGAATATATTCATGAAAATACGTTAAACTTTCGATTTAAGATTAGCTTACTACGTTATTTTTTTCCAAAGCACTAACTCCATTGATGCAGTTTGGTTGCAATGCGAATATACTCACTTTGGATTGCATATTGTGACGTCATTCAAAATATCTTTTAAATTTGGACGTCCCTGTCCTATACTACAGCATAATTGAGTGTCGGTAGACTCTGACCAGCCGCTCTTTGATATATTACCAGTCGTGTGTAAACGAAGATTTAAGAAGTCGGGTCGGTTCATCTGCCATAACTGGAGGTCGAAGGGGGTACATCGAGAATGGGGAGACGGGGAGAGAGAAAGGCAGATAATGACAGAGTACGGCACATGTATTGCAATCCGTACTTTACGATACAATTGAAGAAAACAAAATCACAATTTTAAGTTCTACGTTTGCTCCTAAACTTATTGTCCCACGAAATGACTGTGGATGCTTCAGCAACATTGTGATATTTGAGGCAGGGAGACCTTTTCACTAAATTTTGAAAGTATGAACTATGAAACTCTTGCTTGTACAAGAAATGAAACTCGTGATTTAAACAAATTCACTAGAATTTGAATCACAAAACGATTACAATGCCTAAACTCTCTATGCCACAATCAAGCAATATTTCAAAGAACTGTACCAGATTGTAAAATATAGGTTTGACGGAAAATTAATAAAATAAACTTCAATGGATATCTTTGTATTAACTGAAAATATAAACGTTCACAATAATGATGATTTCTCTTAGTACCTTTAATTGCAGTGAGTTGATAGTTTGAGTGAACCACTGGAAATGACTTTCATCTCGACAGATCCAGATGAAATATAAGCGAGAAAGTTTAAGTCTCGACAGCTCATCGCAGCCGAGGGACCTGAAAGTAAACAGCGCAAAGCAAATCATACATATTTATGACATGGATATTGATAAATGAACCTAGTAAATAAACAAACAAGCACATAAACAAACGAACAAAGCAAAAACAAACCTTCAGTAAAAAAAAAAAAAAAAAGGTAAACAGGATGGTTTCAATCTCAACAGCTCCTCGCAGTTAAGGGATATGTATACGAAAAGCGCGAGCAAAACGCAAATTGATACCAAGAATGGTAAATCAACTGAATCATTCAAACAACAAACCAACACACCCATAAAAAAAAGTGAACATACATGGAAAAAGGATATATAGCAACTGATAAAGATTCAAACGTTGATTACATTCATTGATTTCTGAAGTAGGTCGACAGATTATTGTTAACCTTACATCAGCAACATATGTTGATTATAATGTAGCTTTGGTGTTTTGTAAAAACACTATCTTCTGTAATTTGTTTTATCAATGTCATCATAAGCTGACGCCTACACTTTCGACAGTTGCGTTTCACCTCCAAAAAAGAGGAATCAACACTCATATTGCAAGGCTTCGAGAAATTACATCTAAAGCACTTTGATTGAGGCTATGTTCATCACCTACTGAAATGTGCGGACATCACAATCGCATTTAGTCAGCTATTATGATAGGCATTGAAATCGCCTACGAGTTGATTTTTCGAAAGTAACTGCGATCGTGTTTCTGAAAAGGGCTACTATTTTGGAAGGTTCCAATATAATCTGGAGCGGAGTGAATTCGAAAAAAAACGTGCTTCAGTTGAAAATGAATCCTTTTCAACCCCGCAGGAATAAGATAGTATAATGGAGTTTGTAACAATAAGGTGATCGTTCCTGATACTTATCTTATCAACGTTACTTACGCAAGGTGATTAAGTATAGCAGCAAATGGTGTCACGCCGATACCACCGGCTATGCAAACACTCACTCGATACCTCAATATATCACCACTCGCACTACCTAAAGGTCCGTCCATCAGAATTCTGAAAAGCGAGAGAAAAGTTATTTTCTTAACTACAAGTCATGTAAATTAATATATTCATCTTTAGTTTCATTTAAACAGGGCGAGATGATACACAAATATTCCACTAACAGTTTAATCGACGAGTCAAGTATTTGAATCTTTGCGCAATTCAAAATATGTCGTGTTAGAAATATTTATAGTAATATATATCATCTTGAACTGTCTGTTTGTTGGTGGATCGAATCGTCAGGTTTCACAATTGTTTTTATCAGGCAATTTCGTGATAACAGCCAAAACGCCCTGATCAAAAAGCCTACAAAGAATTTAAACTTGTTATGGAACTCAGCAATTTTCACGGGTCATTCTTTGATTTACTTTGAAGGTGAATTGGACAAGACCATTTTGTAGACGAGAGTGGTTTATTTCACAAACATTACCCTTAACAATTTGTGAATAAAGGGGCATGTTTTTTACATAAGGTCGTAAAGCACCACCACCCGATCCGACGCGATGATTCTAGTAAGCCCCTTTGAGACACCCGCTTTAGAAGAGAGGAGTTTGATACGACTTACTTTGGCATGCTCATGTAAGGATCATCTCCATGTGATGTCTTTAACCTTTCCTGAAGAAGCTGACGAAATAAATCTGGAATAAAATCGAGACAAATTATAAATATCACTTCAAATTTCCTGTTGATGAAAGAAATCTGAAAATAAGATATGCAAATGTTAGCGATAGATTACCATTGGATGATGCCCCACAAAGTACATGCACTTTTTAAATACTGCTCGGTTACTCGTAAATAAAATGATATATAGAATTGAGAGATGTGTTACTTTTCAATTAAAGATGGAAGTGATCTATCTTTTAAAATGTGTTTGCAGAACATTAAACAATTTTCATTTCACTTAATAAAATGGACATTAATACTGAAACGATTCCGTTAAATAATATTTTCTTTTTCAAAAATAGGTTGCAAAATGTCTCGCTACATTTAGTGATAACCGTACGATTAAAGGCTCGTTCAGGTATGTCACAGCAATACCGCTGAGGAGTTTTGTATGATAACTTCAAAGAGTTAAACGCTTCATATCTTTGTATCATATTACACAGAGCTCAGTGAATAAACGCAAGTCCTTTGTTCTGCTCACTTGTCATTCATTTACATTTTAAAAATATATTGAACAACTCCGACGTTTTTTTTTTTGCGGCAGTTTACAATCCTATGGTTTGGGAGCTCAGGATTTATCGCTCAGGATTTAAAGCTCAGGCTTATAGCGATATTTCCCGAATTCCAAAGTCTTCCGATTTGTAGGAAGCTGTTCTGTGGCTTGTTATTGGGTATACCTGTCCAGTCTCCACATGCTTTCATTTGCAAACTAAACGATGGGTTTGAAGGAGTCGGACACTGTGTAATTAAAAGAAAACAAAACAAAGAAATCAATTAATTTGAATGTATAATTATCTACTCCACGATATAATTTGCCATTATTTCTCTAACAAGAATACAGATTGCGTGCGTCCTCTATCTACCGTGGAATTTGACAGACACAATGTCACAAACGCCCCCTTCCAAACGATGTAGCATTAATCAGTGGGTGGGAAGTGGGGCGTTTGTGCCTACAATTAAATGCCGAATAAAGGGAAAAGGGAACACTTTAAAGAGAATGGGTAAGCAAAGTAAATGAGACGATACGACCACTCCGACACGCTCCCCATCTCAAGAGTTTTCATCCATCTAGTAAGACAGGTGTGCCCCCTCCTCCAAGAAATTTTAACTTCCATGTGCTTCCCCACCCCCCCCCCCCCCCCCCGCCCCGACTTTAGTGTTTCTGTATATAAAACGCCAGTGGTAGAGTGTGCTGAGAAAGTGTATAACTTACCGAAGTCAATGTGAAAGGATGCCATTCTAATCGTGAGATAGCGGGACAATTGATGAGGATGTACTGAAATATATAGAGAGAGAAAAGGAAAAGAGATAATACCTAAACATCTTTAATAAGTTAAAAATTCATAGCTAACTTCCATCCACGAATTTTGCACAGATCCAATTTTTGTAACATTGAAGTCTAAAGCCTCGTTCAGAAATGACGTGGTAAAATCGCGGCGTTTTTTTTTTATGATGACGTAAATGTAATACCCTTCGCATTTTTGAATGATAAAGCACAGAGCTTAGTGAATACGCACAGTTGCCATTCTTTTACACATATTTTATTTGGCGGTTTAACGCACCGTAATATGAACGAGTCTTAAGCTATCTATTATAATGTTTTCATGCAACCATAAAACTCCCGATCGGTAACAAAATAAAAAGGAGTTTAGATTCCTGACGTCAGACAACGAACTTGTTATGTTATTCGAAATAAAAATACAAACCATTAAAATCTGTTATTACATCCACTGTGTTGGTGGCTGTCAAACTGCCAGTTGTAAAAAGAAAAGTTACCCCCTTCCTCAAAGTAAATAAAATGTGCGGGATACATTCCCCGTCCCCTTCCCGAGAGGTTTCCTGGGCGGGTTGTATATAGTATAGAAATTACCTGACCCGGTTGAGCGCTAAAATTCTCGACATGGAGCCGAAATTCTATGACGTCACCCGGTAAGAAGCGGAGATTTTCTATGGTGACCGAACGGCGAGATTTGATCCATCGCCACACACGATCGAGGATGTAGAGAGACGCTGGGACCAATAGAAACCTCCACGTCTGTACAAAAGAGAAGAATGGTTGTCTTATTATTTCGTAAAATATTATATGCATCATAATTTATGGTTTGCCAAGAAAAAACGCTTGAAATTGAAATGGAATATTGAAATTGCGCAACCATTCTTATCTCTAGGCCTACCTCTACGCCGTGAACTCAAGACGATGTTTATACTGGCTTATTATAACGTGTTTTTTTTAGTATCGAACACTGTGCCATTAAGAATTCTGACAATTAAGCCATTTAATCAATAACCCCCTAAATGTAGTAAGTCAGTGTCGGTAAAGTGTAAAATTTGTATGTCTTCAGGTCTATATTTTTGTAACACTGATGGTAATAATTCCATCTTCATCTTCAACTTAATAGCAGAAATATTTGCTTCAATCATTCCCCCTTCCCAATTAAAATATTTAAGCCATGAAGTATGCAAGTCGTAACAAAATATTTTCTAGCGATATCTCTTAAAGTTAAGCTGTCCCTAATGTCTTACCCGAGATTTGTGTGAAATAAACCTGGGTTTCTCTCTGCAAATAGATGATGAATTCACAGCACTTGGTTCTGCATGCGGTATTATCCGACTAGTGTACTCGACTCTATCATTTGGATCGGGTTTCACGGACATCGGTTCAGGTAGCGGATCATCCGGATAAACGCAACCCGGAGTGTGGTTGACCGTGTTGCACTGTTCCTTTAAGATTCCACTGTAGTTAAAGGAACGACATATTGATATACTGTCAAACCTGCCTTTAAGTTAGTGGCCACCTTTCTATAAAGGAAACCTCTCTATAGTGGCTTTGTATTTCGTATCCCTCGAGAAAGAAATTTGTGTTGTAGAACCACTGGTTTTACTGTTAAGTTAAACAATAGCACTAAACAATAAACTTTAATTGTTATCTGTAAGGCTGATATAAAAAGACAATAAATCCCCACTAAACCACCACTTCAGACCTTATGCGTATATAGCGCGTACGAGGGGAACGGGAAGGGAAAGGGGGGGGGGGGGGGCTGCCGTTCCCGGGAATTTCGAAAATACCAATGTTCGCATAACCGTCCCTCAGTCAAATTCTATCTAGTTTATTTTGACGATGAAATAATACCCTTGCTCACACGAGAAAACACATAAAAGGGTAAATTGACATGCAGTGAACCCCCCCCCCCCCGGAGATGTGCTTTGCGTACCTAACCAGTATTAAATGCCAAGTGAAATCGAATGTTAGTTTGTCAGCCGGATTTCTTGAAAATGGAGAAGTAATGTTCCATGTTATTTAATAAATGATATTTCTTCCAGGACATTAATACCAATTAAAAACAATTCTCCACGGATTTATGAATGGATTACAGTTTAAACAATTAATTTGAAATCGCATTCTATAGTACTTTGTTACTCCGTTATCCAGAATTCCCCATTCAGATCTCTCTTATATCATGTTAAATAAATATATTAAATAATATCAAAGAAAAGGTGGGATTGAAAGGGGGAAAGAGGGGGGGGGGGACAAAGAATTACCAATCCAGTTTACTTGGTCTTATAAAACGGTTTTGTACAAAATCTCAAGGATATTCTGGCAAAGAAAAATTAACATTAAATGCAAGTTGCAATCAATTACAGAGGCCTGTATTCTGAAATGCAGAAAGTGATATCTAAAGCTCTGGTTCAAACTGTCGATTTAGACTGGACTTGACCGCACTTAAACACCGGTTACATTTAAAGGAATTATAAATACGCGCCAAAGTGTCTGAAATCACATATTCGATTTTCAACCTGGCACTTGTTGGTTGCAATTAAACACACACGTGGGGGAAGGGGAGAGGGGGAAGAGGGGAGAGGGGGAAGAGGGGAGAGAGGGAGAGGGGGGGGGGGGCTTCCAGGTCTATTTATTTTATTGTCACTGAAAATCAGAACCCCTAACTTTATACAATGATTCGAAAAGACAAGATTCAGAAAATTGCATTATTCTACCAGTATACATAGCTCCTGCAGCTTTTCTCAATCAATACAAATGATAATATGGAGGCAACGTATGCAGAGGAGAAAGAAATTTGAATTTCAACAAGATACACCAACGGTATTAAACAATTACAAAAAACAACTTTTGTATTCGGAGGTTACTTTTCAGAAGCGGGCTTACATTGTGGATAAACATTTGAATTAATCATGCATGCAATAATTCTAAATTATCGAAATAATTGTTGTGTGCACACACATTTCCACAACGTAGAGCTATCAAAAATAAGGAGAGAAAAATCAGAAATAAGGCAGCCTTTATATACCCCACGCCCCAGAACCCCAGCGCAGTCACGAAGGTCGATTTGACCGGGTCAACCCGGTAGAAATCAGCTGTACACCGCAGGGAATCCCCGTGAATCATGTAATTAGTTGCGAATGTGATATTCTCTTGGTGGCTACAATAATAATATGATTGGAGAAAGAGACCAAGCTTTTTGAAGAAAACATATGGTTTTGATTTCAAAACGGGGTGAAAGAGAGGTGACTTGGCAGTGGCGGATCCAGGGGGGGGGCCCGGGGGGCCCGGGCCCCCCCCCCCTTGAGAAAAAAATCATGTAAAATCACGTGATTTTTACCTTTTTGGGGGGTTGGGCCCCCCCCCCTGGCGCTCAAGGGGGGGTGCAAATTGAATTTTTTTGAGGATCAAAAAAAAAAAATGTGCTCACTACCCCCCCCCCCCCCCCCCCCCCCCCCCCCCCCCCCCCCCCCCACTGAGCGAATTTTTGGCCGGCGCGATTTTCAAATTTTCGGGAGCAAAAAAAAAAAAAAAAAAAAAAAAAAAAAAAAAAAAAAAAATGTGCTCTGTACCCCCCCCCCCCCCCACTGAGCGACTTTTCGGCCGGCGCGTTTTTCAAATTTTCGGGAGCAAAAAAAAAAAAATTGGGCCCCCTCCCCTAAGAAATCCTGGATCCGCGCCTGTGACTTGGTACCGGTTTAGAAACAGATATTGTGACCCTTAACACATTTTCATAATTTCACTGAAAAAAACATGTAATTTGAATTAAAATGTAGACTGAATTTGATCGCAATTCATTTAAGGTAGTATATGGCTTCCAAAACAGCAGACTATCAAATTTCTCTTTTATTGGCACAAATGAAACTACCCTACAGGAAGAAAATATCTAAACAAATAAATACATTAATGAAATGTATCATGTTTTAATAAAATCTTAAGAACCTGCTGCAGTGCTGCAATTGAATTACTCAGAATATATTGCCAAACGAGTACATTTTGTCTTTCAACGTAAAATTTAAATGGATTCAGCAAAGATGTGTTCTTTATGTGTTTTATTAATTTTTAAGAACTTATAAACAAAATTATTGGAGTATAATTTACTGCCGAAAGGAGACGTTGTATACTTACCCAAGTGGGTGGCATAATAGTAGAATGTAGAAGACTAAGAAAGCATGATGTGACATCCAAAATACGTTATGTCTTTCCCGTCTGAAAAGGACATTACAAACAAGAAAATAATTAACAATGGTAGGCCTAATATTATAGGCCCAATTATATTTGAAACTATTGCAAAGCAGTACGGGACTACATCACCTTCATCTCTCATTGGCCGTTGTAAGAGATGCAGGATAAAAGAGGGAACACAAATTGTGGTGGAAGGGGGGAGGGGGGCAATTCCCCCAATGATGAAGAAATAAAGAGTATATCTTATGTTTGATGTACCCCCTCACTATTCCTAAAAATATGACTAAAAAGTGTTTCTTCATCCTCATTGGTCTTTATGTCGAATCGAAGAACATGCCTTGATGATCATCATTTTACACCTTCTTTATTTTTCAAAAACAAGGAATAAAGGTTAATGCATACATTTACGGAGGTTTGTATAATCAGGGCGTGAGATTATCTTCCTATACTATTGACAACATTAGGAGTGAATCAAGATCATATATATTGTGCAAAATTTTGTGAAAAATGGCTCTGTTTTACTCACCTAAAACAAGGCAGCGATGTGATGATTATAAATATAAGTATACACAGCATACAGGAACCAGTTATTCCAGCCACTATAAAAGAAATGGAGAGAATGTGAGACGAATTGTAATAATGGAAATTTAAAAGATCAGGATCCAGTATTTAAAAAAGTTAGTCAATCGAAACTATGTACATTAAAAACGGGGGACTGCAAACTGGCGAATGATTAGAGGACTTGCGATTGATTGGGATTAATCACAACTTTTTATAAGACAGGGCCCTAGCTGTAATGTGCAAATCTAGTCGAAGCCATTAAGGCCAAACATGATGCTCATAGTGACTTAAAGTTTGGGGAAGGATATTTAAAGACCGTCCACTGTTGAACCTGCATGTGGTTCTTTAGTTTTTAAACACTGTGCAAGGTATGTTCCAAAAGTAGACAGTCCGTTTTCTTCAATACAACAAAACTTGACTGTGTTAAATTAAAACTTAGATTAGCAGTTTTTTATTCGTTTAAGTATGATCCGTGATAAGACTTTAAATTTGTACAGAAAAGTTATTTATATAAGCACGTTGTATTAGATATCCACCCGATTTGACCCTTGCCTCACTGAAACAGTAAGTGAAAGTGGGAAATTAATTAAAACGAGACCTCCATTACGTTATATTTCTGAACCAGGTTTTGACAACTATCCATCGAATGCATTTGCGGTGGTTCGAAAAATACCACGATCTGTGGTTCTCTGCCATCCGCGTTTTCTAATGGATAGGGTGAGGGAAACCAAACTAAATCCGCATGCATGAGCTTGAGCTGGTGAAAAGGCATGACAAAAGTAACAATTTTCCGTCATCAAGTTATTGTAGATTGTAAAAGTCACCCATTTTCACCGCAATTTCAAAGACTGGAATTATCCTACAATAATAATGATGAAAAAGAAGAAATTATGAGAACTCACCCGTTGATAGCAGCATCGTGCATGGATTCTGAACAAATGAAGTGGTTAAAAAGTTGTTTTAATAGATTGGAAATAGACCCCTTATTTCATCTAAAATACGTCCATGCTCTTTTCAAATGTCCATACCCATCATGATATAAACATGATATAAACATTGATATATCATTTTATACAAATGATATACATGTTAATTGCGAGCCCTTATATATTTTTTTAAAAACGTGAAGTACATTCATATTTTATACACTCCCGGTGGTGTCACTTCATATTGACAACGTGTACGCAACATAGTTAGAAATTTTGCGATATCAATATCATGTGTGACCGGATTACAACTATTTTCGAAAAATCAACTCAATGGAAATTTCAATACCATATTTTACCGTCTAATATAAATCAGGCATTGGATTATGAAATATATGTCATTATAATGTTGGCAATTTCCAATAGGTGACCGCAAGAAAATTTAAATTAACTTTTAAAAGCCCTTGTGATCGTGTTCAAACAATTTTCATAGCCTTTAGGCCTACTACTGATCAGTTTTTATAATAATGATAATAATAGTTAGCTCTTATATAGCGCATTTAATTACCGAAGGTAATACCAATGCGCTTTACAAATGTAGAAGACAGTAGAAATAAAGACATATATAGAAATAATTACATATATAGAAATAATCACATATATAGAAATAATAACATATATAGAAATAATTACATATATAATCAAAACTTACAAGTAAGTAGGCATACAGTATACAATAGAATACTAACGAATAAGATAAAACAATCCAGTCAAATCAAATCCAGGAATGTTTTAAAACGCAAATCTCTAGTTGCCTAATCAAAGGCGCTGATGAGGCCGAAAAACGACTAAATATGCCGTTCATGCATCGTTAACATTGGACAGACTGGGGTAGTTGCTATAATTATTTGTAATATAACAAACATTAATGAAATACCTGGCCTGAAAAAGTAGCAATATTGATGTCAGGAAAAGCACTGTTGAATCCCGTAGAAAACCTTACAGCGTTGAACGAATGTGCTGTACAATGAATAACTATTATGTGAACAGAGGAAGAAAAAGACGTCAGTGCACAAATTTTGTTCTGCTTCGGTTTGCATATTTCTACTAATGATTACTAATCACGCTTTTAAGGCGCAAAAACATTGAGGAAAAGCAGAATGACAAAATAAAATCTAAAATAAATTGGATTCACAGAGAAAGAGAAAGATTATTCAATAAAATACAAAATCTAAGAAAAACAAGATGAGGCAGATACCAGGTTCTCTACACTTACATCCTAAAATAAGAAAAACTTTGTGTACATTCTCCTTTTCTAGAGTATAATATCTACTTCATATTTACTTAATCATAATTAATATACTATATCTACTTAATATTTAAATTTGGCATAGGAATTAAAGTGATTAATGGGACCCCCGTTTATAAACAACAGCATGTGTGAGGCCCCTCCCAAGTGTATTCAGAATTCGTTTTTAGATCTTTTCTTGTGGGAGGGGGGGGGAGGGGGGGGGGGGGGGGAGGGGGAGACGAAATACAAATAATGTACGATCCTCAAGTCAAGAAGTGTAAGTAGCTTTTAAACCGCACTGCCCATGAAAAAAAAACACGGATGCATGTATACTTGAACTCGGTTGCTATTAAAAGAGAGGGTGATACCGTTATAACCTTGATTTCTGGCTTGGGACTTGGGTCAATCAATTGCAGAAGTCAACATTATCATGTCATTTGAAAACTAGAAGGGCGTTTACTCATATCCTTTATTAATCAACGTATTACATCCATTACACAACGTTAACGCCCCTCTGATTCTCGGCAGCCCATTTTCCGTATCTCATGACATATGCCAAACTATTTGTATACTGGGTACCATGGTTACCTGTTCCTATGCACACACAGCCTGCACACATGATGTGAGTAAATCGGTAGTGATCCAGCCAGCGTCTCATTGATCGACTTGACTGTGAAGAAGAAAAAAAGAATACAAACAAAATATAGATATTTATATACCCCATGTAATTCTGAATGAAACGTAAAAATATAACAGAACATAGTTTACACAAATAGGTTTTGAAGAGAGCAATACAAATATTTAAATTATATTTTGTTTTAAGTTTAACAATTATAATACTTGCCCATTATTATGTAACCTCACAAAGCTAATTTTGACTAATAAATAGACAAAGTATTGCATAATTTAGAATCGTGATAACCTAACTTTTTTAGAATTTTTCTCAAAATTAATGTTATCTTCTAAACTTTCGGAAATACGTCTTGGACAGTTCTAAGGTTAACTAATATGCAAAGTTTAGTGTATAATAATTACATATGATTCAGTCTTTATTTCCATACCTTGTTTTCTCAATCTGTGAAACAAAATAATATAAAGTGCGTCACAAAATGTAATAAGGCCTATCTACATATTTTCATATGTGGGGTAGCTAGATAACTGTCATCTTGCCATTAACATGTTCTCCACCCACATTTCCCTCAAAAATATTTATAAATAATCTCACTCTCCAAAGCTTTGGGTCAATAAATCGATTCGTTTCTGAACAACACATTAAGTATAACCCAACATTTATTTTAGTGTACTAGTAATGATACAGGTTTTGATCGTCGTACTCTCGCAGCCAGGTGTTCGCATTTAGTGTATATACAGTAGGAGTGCAACACAGTTGAGGTAAATTTAGAGAGAATCATTTTTATTGCGAGGCTCTTCGGCCACATCAACAACATCCCTTTACCCTTAAAATGTATATGTTATTACATACTCATTTCACACTTTCAATAACTCCTCTGACTAACGAATTGATTCAACCACTCTTTTCTAAATCACCCAGGTAAGTTTGCCTTATAATTTACATCCAGTCATACCAGTTTTGATCTTCGTAGTCTCGCAGCCAGGTGTTTACATACAGGTAATAATAGTGCAGCACAGTTGAGATTCAGCAAAGCAGCAGAGGCGCGTGACACACACAAAGTTCTCTGAAAAACACAAACAAAATATATCACATTTTATGTAAAATTTATTTTGTTACATGTTTTAGCAATACTCTGTCATGTTTTGCTTTCTGAGTCATGCATAACATCATCTGAGCAGAGAAGTGACTTGGCCTATTTGGGACTCTCAATGTATCCGCACTCTCTGACAACAATTATTGTTGTACTATAATGATAAGAATCCGTATATTTTTTTTGTTATTGTTATAATTTACTCTTTTCCCTTCTTTCTTTGTATATTTTATTAAAGCATAACATGAAAACCACATTTTTACAAGATTCGATAAATTTTAGTGAGTTCCGAAAATATTAGTGCACAAACATCATTACTTCTCGTGAACCATGCCTATAAGAGGCCAATTTTTTTTCTTTTTTTGGTCCCAAAATTTGAAAATTTGCCGGATCGACATTTCGCCCCGTTGGGGGGGGGGGGGGGGGGGGGGGTAAGGTCACCTTTTTTAGGTAACCCATTAGCATGATTTGTTTTGATTTATTAAATGAATAAATAGAATAAATAAAAAAAAGGGGAGGGGGGGGGAGTTTCCTAAAAAAAAACACATATAAAACAACCCAAAAGGGGGATTAACCCCACCCCCTCCCTGCGTACGCGCCTGGTACCCACACATCGCGTGTCTGGACAATTTGGTTGGTTGATTTCAAAGAGTAATTAAAAGATGTTTACATGAAATATTGCATAAATATTTTGACAACACGCATGGCAATATCATAAAGGACAAGTATTTAAGATGGTCTAGCGCTATTTGATGCATGTCGGTTGTTAAATTCGAAAGCAAAAGTAAAAAGCCTTGTTTCTGCTAAGAATATTTCTAAACTAAAATGTGTTTATTAAGCGCTGACAGTTATAACTAAATGAAATTATTTTGATACCAATAGTATTAATAAATACTTATAAAGCGCACTTATCTATCAAATTACTCAAGGTGCTATACAAAAGAAAATACATAAGACAAAATACACAATGATATACATGTAGATGATGTAGTATAAACCACAGATAAATCGGTTTAGTTTCACATACTTCAGGTATAAATTTCTGCAAATAAAGAAGCGGCATGTGCTTACGACAATTATACACTGAAATTGGATACAAAAACATGCAAATTAGTTCAAGTCTAGCCCTCCTCCGAACCTCCCACTTCCATATTCATCGACCAATCTTCCCCTTTGCTTTGAAGTACAGTTTTACTTGCACATTGTCCACACAGAATTACTTATGGAAATTAGTAGGCCTTTCATTTCAATGTGACTGTTCAGCGTGAACGAACGTGGCTGGAATCTCATCACTCTCTTAATATTGACCATTACGAAACATCTTCTTTGGTGCCCCAATTCCCAGAGGTCTGTGAAAAACGAAGGTAAAAACATGCATTTTATCCTACATTTATATTAAATTTTGCTAAACAACAAAGTTTGTTTTTATGTGTTCGTTGTGATATTCAAAGATGAAAAACATTCAGCTGAATAATCTACATGTACAGTATAAGCAAACACAAAGGAAATAATTTGTTCAAAAACAAAATCGTCTTCGGAAATGAAAAATAAAAGGATACACCATCTTAAAACTGCTTTTCTATATCCAAGTTACAGACAATACGTCTGTAACAGCGAACGTGCATAGTACTTCAATCGAAATAATTTGTATGGTTCTCCTTTTTTGCAGACAGAAATCGGTCATCATGGCTTTCAAACACCCATTGCTTATTCTCCATTTGGTGATCAGTTTAAGCCAAACCTTGCACGGGGTTGCGACATTGGTTTCCTCCAGGAGCTTATATTTGGAGACTTCTCTTCAGGGATGTGAAGCAGACTTAGAACTAAAGAACGTTGACTGTATCAAACAAGGGTTATATTATGTGCCCCAACATCTTCCAGAGGACATCGAGGGTTTGAACCTTACGTATAACTACATCACATCTCTCCTGAGCTCCTCCTTTAGAAGATATCCTCTCGTCACCATTCTGGACCTTTCCTTCAACGCCATTAGGGTAATAGAATCAACAGCTTTGCATCCTCTCAAGGATTTAACCCACTTGGACCTTTCACATAATTCTCAAGTTGTGCTTCCAAGAGGCCTCCTCAGATGGGCAAGAAAGCTGTCGCACTTAGATGTGTCTCAATTATACTCGAGCTCGATCCCTAATGATATTCTAAAATGGAGTCGAAATTTGGATACTGTGGACCTTAGTTACAATTTTCTCACCGTCATAAACATAAGCTCATGTGGCACAGCAAGAAATGTCGACCTGAGTTATAGCACGCTAGAAGGCTTCACAGAAGATGCTTTTAACTTCGTGTGCAACTCTGATACTCTGGTTCTAAAAGTGTCAATGTCCCTCACCGAATCGGTGGATCCAAACGTAATTGCATTGCTCCGTGTCAGATCATTGATACTAGGTCAAAACGCTTTTACAATCGAGGAACTGAGAGACATATTCATCGGTATCTCCCGTTCAGTGATAGAGAATGTTACATTCACGCAAGGCCCTGATTTGCGAGTCGTTCCGAAAGATCTATTTGATCCACTGCGCGATTGTTCTCTTAGACTACTCGACCTCAGCTCGACTCACCTAAGTGCCCCTTATCCTTTCGTCTTCTCGAGTCTGACAAGGCTCAGACACTTTAATCTTCAGAGCAACGGTATAGTTACAATAGAACCAAATTTCTTTGAGGGCATGCACAATTTAAGAATGTTAGACTTAAAAGATAATCATATTAAAGATATAAACACGGTCAATGTTTCATGGACAATAGACTTAATTGAGTTACACTTATCCGGAAATGCCTTGACTACAATTACAGAATCTGCATTTCGGGGTTTGCATAATCTAACGCTTTTAGATTTGCGCTCAAACGAATTGCTCACATTTTTCTGGACAACATCTTTTTTGGAACTGAAAAGCATTCAAAGCATTGATTTGTCACAATGCGATATCAAGGTATTTCAGTTGATGATCCCAAGCATAACATCATTTTTCCTAAATGATATGATAAACGACATTTGGTTCATAAATCCAATGTCGTCCTTTGAAAATGTAGATCTCCTGGAACATTTGGAGATGAGAAACATTGGAATTGGGATTGATGACCTGTGGTGGTCAGGCGGGAATGCATCTCTTTTAGACGGATTGTTCAACCTTACGTTTTTGGATCTGAGCGAAAATAGTTTGAACGGAGGTATAGACGATGATCTGCCTCCTGGGGTCCTGCAACAACTTTCCGCTTTACAAAATCTTTCTCTAGAAGACTGCGACCTTTCCAACCTTCATCCACAAGCCTTCACGGGATTGAAATCACTTCGGGTTCTAATACTAAGAAATAACAAACTTAAGCAGCTTCCTGTCGATTTGTTTAAGCAATTATATCAATTAACAGGCATTGATCTTGCTGATAACGTTTTGACGTACCTTGATGGAGCGATCTTTTTGAGTAATCGAAAGTTAAAAACTCTTGATCTATCGAACAACAGATTAACACGTCTCGAGCAAAATACCTTTAAACCGCTCTATTCTTCTCTGTTATTAATAGATCTATCAATGAACACTATCGATTGCAACTGTGGTCTAAGCTGGTTTCCTAAATGGCTTAGCGGACCACTTAACCTCATTGACGGCGATGACGACGATAACAGAACAATCTGTTCATCGGATTCTTTAGAGCCTCTTCGGGGCAAGCATCTAATTGATTTCGATCCTAGAGAGTTATGTAGCATCAACATCGCCCTCGTATGTTTGCCTACCCTTGCCATCATTTGTCTGATTTTCATCGTCGCTCTCGTATACCACTACCGGTGGCCGCTGAGGTACAGACTGTTTCTAGTCAAACTGGCAGCCGTTGGCTACAAGGTGATGCGAGACGCTAGGGATCATAATGATTATGAATTTGACTTGAATGTCATATTTTACGATGATGACGAAGATTGGATTCGCGAACATCTCCGACCAGCTCTCGCAGAACAGCTTCCGCAGTTTCAGAGGAGTGTCTTTGGTGATGCGGACCTCATACCGGGGATGCATTACTTAGATGCTGTTGACTACGTGGTGAGTCATAGTTACAAAACCATCGTAGTGCTCAGCATAGCTGCTGTTCGTGATCGCTGGTTCATACTCAAGTTCCGTACGGCCATGGATCACGTGAGTGACACTCTGACTGAATTCGTTGTCGTGGTCTTCCTCGAAGACATCCCAGATGATGAAATGCCATTCTTGGCGAGGTTGTATCTCAGTGATGGCAGACCCTATATCCACTGGACTGAGGACGTGAGAGGACATGAGTATTTCTTCGATAAATTGACAAAAAATCTTACCATTAATCTCCGCACCAATGACAGGATCCCGAACGAGTAAATAGAATGTGAGATATGTTTAAATTTAGTGTAAGTCTGAATGGAGAATTTGAAAATGTTTGAATAACACGTTTGAAAGATTACGTTTTTTGATGAACGCATTACTTTTGTGCAGCTATTGCACTTCTTTGCACGCCTCGCAAGAGCTTCTTGCGATGGTTTACGGAGTCGTAAAAACACATCGCACATCATTCTCAAGGCACCTGCACAGGGGCTGTGAGTTCACCTCAAGGAGGGCGCGTTTATCGGGGCTTGCTACTAGATATGTACATATCGTACCCAACTATACGATCGTGATTTGCGGGATGTCGCATTTATCGACTCTTCACGATTAACAATAAAGGCCTTGTCTCTTCGCAGCTGCTCAGCGCTATTTCTCCGAACCGGAAACTAGCCTTGGAATTCCTATTTGTATGTGAGGTTCTAAACAGCTTTGCGTTTATCTCTCAGAAACGTGATTCTGGCTGTATGTCACATTCAAAGCACACCTTTTTGCGTCTTTAGATATGCCCATATCTAAAGCCGTTTAAAAAAGGCTTTGCGTTTATCACCTTCTAAATTTGCCAGAAAGACGTTTGAGAAACCTGATTCTAGCCAAAAATTTGGTCGATAAACGCAACCGGAGTCTTGTAGGTAGGGGGAGTATGTTTGTTGGAAGGGAGCAGGGCGCTCACGAGGAGACTCGACTACAGCTGTAGACATAGGCTGCGTTCATGCTTAAATTTTGAAGGCAGAATGAGCGATCTGAAACGCTCATCGTAAACGCTCATCGTGATCGCAGTTCCACGATGTAGTGTTCATGCTTACTTCTCTGGCTCCCCATGCAATTCTCCGTGTGTGGCCTTAATTGGTCTTCCAGCTGGATTCGCAAACCTTCACTGTGCATGCTACGTAGACTCACTAGAGGTCAGTGCGTTGACCCCATTTAAACGCGTTTACAAATTGTAAACGCATCTTTTTGTGAGTTTACGATCGGCGATCGTGATCGCCGTTTTTCGGTGATTCTACAAAAGTGAGCATGAACGCAATTGTGTTTTAAACTAAACGCGTAACAGATGCCTCATTCTGGCCGTCAAAATCAAGCATGAACGCGCCCATATACGTGCAGAAAGACGCGGGAGTTGTGACCATGGCATAATGGAGAAAAGGAGCAGCACAAAATGATTTTTATTTTTTTTTGGTAAAAGAGAAAAAAAATACTTACCCCTAATATTTCCCTGAGGTAATAGTACTTTGATTCGTACTTGTAGTGGTAATAAACACTGAAGAACACTGCAGCATTAATGAGAACCCACAATACCTTTTGGGAAAAGAGAAAAGGAGAACGACCGTGAATACAATTTTAGTTTTTCAATAATATGAAGCAAAATTATCTCATCAACTTCTGTGAAATGGTGTAATCTTGTCACTCCCTGGTGTCACATAATATCTATAATAATAATACGCTAAGGCTCCGCGGGGGGCGCGACGTCTCCGCCGGCCTTTGTATTCTATTGTTTTTTAATGAGATCGCCGACCGAAGTTGGTGCAGCTATCTCCTCCTGAACCCTCCCCTCGGGGTCCCGGTGCCCGGTGCCGTCGTCCGCGGGAGAGTCTACTCTAGCGAATTGGCTATACTCCGCCCGAGGTCCTCCTCCGTGTCGACGTCCAGGGCGAAAACAGACGCGACATGCATAATGCATGATATGCATGACGACAGAGATACCTCATGGATATTCAACATTGCATCCGTAGACACACGACAGACGACGAGCAACTCACATTAAGTTGCGTATTAAATGCACGATGCACACGGTCGGGCTTACCCGAGTAAAGCATCTTTCTATAGGATATCCTTTGTAGTAGCTGCACAAGCCACAGAGATACACACGAAGCTTCGATCCCGCGTCCACGTCCAAACTTAGAGACCTATTTCCATCATGATTGCCGCGATTTTGATATAGTTTTCGTGAATGGAGGTATGAAATCAAAGCTTATTTTGTGATTACTACGGCCATATAGTCTAGACCTATACTAAATTGTTATTATCATTTTCTAAAGGAAAGTTTTCACAAGAAAACCATTGGACTGACAGTTTAGTCGCAAGCTGCCTTCATACAGTGCAGGGCTTCTGTTCAGTGTGTGTGAGTTGAGACGAGCTTGCAGGAAGCTCCAACACCGGCACCGAGCACCGCAGGCGTCCGACGCCTGCGGCGCCGGTGTTCGAGCTATGGAGTTACGCTGTAGTGTGTGTGAGTTAAGCTGAGCTGAGCTCGAGTCGAAGAGATTTGACACTTTGAAATTGTTATCTGTTGGTTTGCATCATTATTGCCGCGATTTCAATATAGTTTCGTGAATAGATTTACGAAACCTGAGCTTAGAATTAGTAAAAGTATTACTCATGTCTACGTTTTTAAACGACTACCTGATTTTCTTGTGAAAATTTTACTTTGAAGAATGATTATCGAAATTCATGGTCAGAAATAATCACAATCTAGGGTCTATTATGTTACAGTTCTTGCATCAAATCAATGCACGAAAACTTAGTTATTGAACTAGAATTTTTTTTTTTTTTTTTAAATAGGCAATTATGAAGTAGGTAGCCTGAAACCTGAGCCTTCTAAACAAATCTCAACAAAGTGAAGGCCTATATCCTTTGATGAATTAATGAAAAAGTAGCCCCAGAAAAAAGAGCCCCCGAAAGTTGAAAAAAGTAGCCCACGAAAATTTTTCCAAAAATTTGAAATAGAGCCCCCGAAATGAAAATCTTAATTTTCTGCCTGCGCCCCCCTCTAGAATCCCGCGATTTCCGCGGGTCCTGAGTTGAGTGTATATATAATATAGGCGTGGGGTCCCCGGCTTTCAAGGGGCCATAAACCCCAAAAAGCTCAGGGGTTACGTTCTTCAAAGTTGGTGGGGGGGGGGGGGGAGAGATCAGATTGCAGCGAGTTGAGTGTATAGGCGTGGGGTCCACGGGTTTCAAGGGTCCATAAACCCCCGAAAGCTCGGGGGTTTTAGGCGTTTAATTAGGGTCAGATGAGCATATTTTTAATACTTTATTTGTGACACTTGCGGGTCACTAATTGGCGTGGGGTCAATACGAGAGTTGCATAGTGTTGCGTACCAACTACGCTGGCCTACATTACTATATGCTGAGGGACGGAACTGGGTACGCAAGATGAACGAAAACAATTCAACATGTTTAATTTTTTTCGCGTACTTTCGGCGTAGAAACTTGACGTAGAAAGTACGCCTTTTTACATACGCAACACTACGCTACATGCCTACGCAACAGTATGCTACCCTACGCCAGATCGACAAAGCAGTAAAAGCTTTCCACACAGTAAGCAACCATAAGCAAACCTGTACGCCAGCCTACGCATAACCTACGCAGGGACTATTTTCTCATTAATACGTAGCCTAATTTCTGCGTAGTCGGTACGCCACACTACGGAACTCTACGCAGTTCCAGTGGCTTGAAGAATAACTACCGGTACAGTTGGATCGTTTTTTAAATTTTTATATAAGGCCAAATTTAAAAAAAACATGTTTAGCGTCCTGTTTTTTTTCGAAAAATGGGAATGAGGAGGCCCTTTTTTTTTTTCCTTCTTTCAAAATGGCCGCTCCATACATTTTCCCTGACATTCGGGCTTTTTTTCAAGATGGCGGCCGACAATTGTTTTTTTTTTCTTTTTTAATATCAGAAATAATTTTAGCAGTGCTTTTCATGTTTTTTTTCTTTCAAAAACTTAAAAAAAAAAAAAAAAAAAAAAATTAAAAAAAAAAAAAAATTAAAAAAATAGGAGGCGGCCCCCAAAAAGGAAACGGACAGGACACTGTTTTATTTTCTTTAAAAAAAAAAAAAAAAAAACAACAAAAAATAAAAAAAAATTCAAAAAAATAAATAAATAGGAGGCGGCCCCCAAAAAGGAAGCGGGCGGGGACGCTAAACATGTATATTTTATTTAATGGCCTGAATGGCAAATAAAGTTCTTGGTGGTTTTAATTTAAACACTCTCTATATATCTATTTACACCCCCCGCCCCCCTCTAGAATCCCGCGGATTTCCGCGGGTCCTGCTAGTCTATATAAGTAATACGCTAAGGCTCCGCGGGGGGCGCGACGTCTCGGCGAGCCTTTGTTTTCTATTGTTTTTTAATGAGATCGCCGACCGAAGTTGGTGCGGCTATCTCCTCCTGAACCCTCCCCTCGGGGTACCGGTGACCGGTGCCGTCGTCCGCGAGAGAGTCTACTCTAGCGAATTGGCTATACTCCGCCCGAGGTCCCCCTCCGTGTCGACGTCCAGGGCGAAAACAGACGCGACATGCATAATGCAGGATATGCGTGACGACAGAGATACCTCATGGATATTCAACATTACATCCGTAGACACACGACCGATGACTATCCACTCACATTAAGTTGCGTATTAAATGCTCTATGCAAAGGGCGGGATTACCGAGAGTAAAGCATCTTTCTATAGGATGTGCTTTGTTGTAGCTAGAATGTGCCTTGCATACATGTAGTAGCTGCACAAGAGATACACGGGGCTTCCCGTCGACGTCCAAACTTAGAGACCTATTTCCATCATGATTGCCCCGATTTTTATATAGTTTTCGTGAATGGAGGTATGATATCAAAGCTTATTTTGTGATTATTACGGCCATGTATACTCAATTTTGATTATCATTTTCTAAAGGAAAGTTTTGACAAGAAAACCATTGGACTGACAATTCAGTCGCAAGCTAACTTCAGTCACCACACATCACAGTGCAGTAACTCTAGGAATCTCCAACACCGGCACCGGGCACCGCAGGCGTCCGAGGCCTGCGGCGCCGGTGTTCGAGCTTCATGGAGTGGCGCTGGAGTGTTATGTGTGTGAGTACAGCTGAGCTGAGCTCGAGTCGAAGAGATTTGACACTTTGAAATTGTTATCTGTTGGTTTGCATCATTATTGCCGCGATTTCAATATAGTTTCGTGAATAGATTTACGAAACATGAGCTTAGAATTAGTAAAAGTATTACTAGACTCTATTGTCTACGTTTTTAAACGACTGTCTGATTTTCTTGTGAAAATTTTACTTTGAAAAATAATTATCGAAATTTATGGTCAGAAATAATCACAATCTAGGGTCTATTATGTTACAGTTCTTGCATCAAATCAATGCATGAAAACTTAGTTATTGAACTAGAAAAATGTTTTTTTTTTAAATAGACAATTATGAAGTAGGAAGCCTGAAACCTAATAGCCTACTAAACAAATCTCAACGAAGTGTAGGCCTATCCTTATATGAATTAATGAAAAAGTAGCCCCAGAAAAAAGAGCCCCCGAAAATTTCCCTAAAATTTGAAATGGAGCCCCCGAAATGAAAAACTTAATTTTTTGCCTGCGCACCCCCTCTAGAATCCCGCGGATTTCCGCGGGTCCTGAGTTGAGTGTATATATAATATAGGCGTGGGGTCCACGGGTTTCAAGGGGCCATAAACCCCCAAGAGCTCGGGGGTTACGTTCTTCAAAGTTGGGAGGGGGGGGAGAGATCAGATCCCAGCATGTTGAGTGTATATATAATATAGGCGTGGGGTCCACGGGTTTCAAGGGGCCATAAACCCCCAAGAGCTCGGGGGTTACGTTCTTCAAAGTTGGGAGGGGGGGGGGAGAGAGATCAGATCCCAGCATGTTGAGTGTATATATAATATAGGCGTGGGGTCCACGGGTTTCAAGGGGCCATAAACCCCCAAAAGCTTCGGGGTTTTAGGCGTTTAATTAGGGTCAGATGAGCATATTTTTAATACTATTTGTGACACTTTGCGGGTCACTAATTGGCGTGGGGTCAATATGTAGAGTTGCGTAGTGTTGCGTACCAACTACGCTGGCCTATGTTACTATATGCTGAGGGACGGAAAGGGGTACGCAAGATGAACGAAAACAATTCAACATGTTTAATTTTTTTCGCGTACTTTCGGCGTAGAAACTTGACGCAGAAAGTACGCCTTTTTACGCAACACTACGCTACATGCCTACGCAACAGTACGCTACCCTATGCCAGATCGACAAAGCAATAAAAGCTTTCCACACAATAAGCAACCATAAGCAAACCTGTACGCCAGCCTACGCATAACCTACGCAGGGACTATTTTCTCATTAATACGCAGCCTAATTTCTTCGTAGTCGGTACGCCACACTCACAACTCTACGCAGTTCCAGTGGCTTAAAGAAATACTACCCGTACAGTTGGATTGTTTTTTTAAATTTAATATAAGGCCAAATTTAAAAAAAAACATGCTTATAGCGTCCTGTTTTTTTCGAAAAATGGGAAGGAG